TCTAGAACACTCTGAGATTACAAGTTGCAGAAAAGGTGCTGACCTAAATTGTTAGAGAGAGTTTCCTCATCTGAGACTTCCCTATGCCAGTGAATCTCAGGTTTAGGTCCTAACCTTAACACTGTATTAAAGTGACAATGCCAGCGTGGTCCTGCTTGTCTGTCTCCTGCTATTCCTTCTGTTATCTTCTCTGTATATTAAAAATATGTTTTTGATGATCTTTTATTCCTCCTCCTCCTCCTTCTTCCTTATATGTATATTATATACGCATACACAATACACATAATATATGTGTATATAGACATATGTGTATATGCATATGTGTGTATATATATATATATTATATATATTTATATGAAGGAAAGGAAACAAGCATTTATTAAGTGCCTATTATATTGCAGGAACATTGCTAAGAGCTTTACTATTTATTATCTCATTTAATCCTCACAACAACCATGGGAGGTAAGTATTGTTTTGATCTCCACTTTACAGTTGAAGAAACTAAGGCAAACAGGTGAAGTGACTTGCCCAGAGTCACATAGTTAGTAAGCATTTGAGACTGGATTTGAACTTAGGTCTTCCTGACTCTAGGTTTAATGTTCTATCTACTGTGCCACCAAATTCCTCCTTGAGAACAGAGATTGTTTCATTTTTTGTCTTTGCATTCCCAGTACCTAGTAGTAGGCAAATAAGTGCTAATTAAAAAATATATTTTTATTTTTAGTTACAAATTATCCCCCTCCATGCACATCCTCTCCCACCCATTGAGATGGTAAGAGATATGATACCCGTTGTACCTATGAAATCATGCAAAATATTTGTGCATTATCTATGTTCCACAAAAAGCAAGAAAAATAAAGGAAAAATGTGTTTCAATCTACGTTCTAAGTCCATCAGCTGTCTATATGGAGTTGTTTGGAGTTATAGTGGCTCATTACATTGATCAGTTATTAAGTCTTTCACAGTTGTTTATCTTTACAATATGGCTGTTACTGTGAAGATTGTTCTGGTTCTGCTCATTTCACTTTGCATCAGTCCATGTAAGTCTTCCCAGGTTTTTCTGAAACTATTTCCTTCATCATTTCTTACAGCACAATAGTATTCCATCACAATCATATGCCATAACTTGTTCAGCCATTCCCTAATTGATGGGTATCCCCTCAGTTTCCAATTCTTTGCCACTGCTCAAAGAGCTGCCATACATATTTTTGTACATAGGGGTCCTTTTCCTTTGATCCCTTTAGGGTATACACCTAGTAGTGGTATTGCTGGATCAAAGTTTATGCACAGTTTTATAGACTTTTGGACACAGTTCCAAACTATTCTCCAGAATGGTTGGTTTAGTTCATAGCTCCACTAACAATGCCTTAGTGTACCTATTTTATCCACATTCTCTTTAGCACTTGTCATTTTCCTTTTCTGTCATCTTAGCCAATCTGATGAGTGTAAGATGGTACCTCAGAGTTGTTGTAATTTGCATTTTTTTTAGTTATTATTGATTTAGAGAATTTTTTCATATGACTATTGATAGCTTTGATTTCTTCTTTTCAAAACTGTCTATTCATATCCTTTGAGCATTTATGAATTGGAAATTGGCTCTTTTTTTTAAATAAATTTGTGTCAGTTCTCATATATTTAAGAAATAAGACCTTTGTCAGAGAAACCCTGTAAACCCTCCCTTCCCCCCAGTTTCCTAATTTTCTTTTAATTTTGACTTCATTGGTTTTGTCTATGTAACTTTATTTATTTTTTTTTTTTACTGGAAAACTTTTTATTGTGGGTGGAGTGGGATAGCTGGACACAGCTTAGATGATTCCAATTTTGTTGGCAACATCTAAAGCATCATAGTCTGGAACAAGTCAGACATAGGCCTTCTCTTCATCAGGCCTGATCAGTGTATTGACCTTGGCCACATTGATGTCATACAGCTCCTTCACCGCCTGCTTGACCTGATGCTTGTTGGCCTTGATGTCCACCATGAAGCAAAGTGTGTTGTTGTCCTCATTCTTCTTCATATCAGACTCAGTGGTCAAGGGAAACTTAATGATGGCATAGTGATCAAGCTTGTTTCTCCAGGGGGTACTTTTCCAAGGGCATTTGGGCTGCTGTTGAAGTCTTAGTGTCTTGGGTTGCGGGAAGGTGGGGGACAGTTGGATCCTCTTTTTGTTGCTATGACCACCCTTCAATGCTGCCTTCTTGGCCTTCAAGGCCTTGGATTTGACTTCTGTCTTGGGGGGGGGGGACAACTGCTTCCTTCTTCTCCTTCGGTGCCATCTTGGAGGAAAGGATGTGCAACTTTTTTTTTTAACCTCCCATGAACCTCTCTATCTTTTGTTGGTAATGAATTCTTCCTCTATTCATAGCTCTGCTTGCTCTTGGTTTTAAGATATATACTATTTAGAATTTTTTCTAAAGTTCCATTATTTCTTGTGCTTTCTAGTGTTTTTAATAGAAGTGGGTTGAATTTTGTCACAAAGTTTTTTATGCGTCTATTAAGATAATCACATGATTTTTAAAATTACCATTATGGTCAGTTTTGCTTATAGTTTTCCAAATATTGAACCAGCCTTGTATTTCTGGTATAAATCCAATCTGCCCATAGTATAAAATCTTTGTGATACATTGTAATCTCTTTGGTAGTATTTTACATTTTACATCAATATTCATTAAGGAAATTGGTCTTCAGTTTTCTTTCTCTGTTTTTGTTCTCCCTTGTTTGGGTATTAAAACCATGTTTGTAGCATAGAAGGAATTTGGTAGGACTCCCTTTTTACCTATTTTTTTCAAATAGTTTATGTAGAATTGAAATTAATTGATCTTTGAATGTTTGGTAGAATTCTCTTATAAATCCATCTTGTCCTTTTGAAAAAAAATTAGGGAGTTCAATTATGGCTTGTTCAATTTCTTTTTTCTAAGATAGGGTTATTTATGTCTTCTATTTCCTGTTCTGTTAACCTTGGCAATTTATGTTGTATAAATATTCATCTGTTTCAATTAAATTGTCAGTTCTATTAGAACATAGTTTGTCAAAATAGTTCCTAATAATTTTTTAAAATCTTCATTGGTGGTATATTCAACCTTTTCATTTCCAATACTGTTATTTTGGTTTTCTTCTTTCTTTTGTAAGAAATAAATTTAACTAATGGTTTAATCCATTTTATTTTTTTCTCATAAAACCAGCTGTTTTATTTATTTATTCAATTTTTAAGAGCTTTTCATTTTATTAATTTCTCTTTTGATTTTTAGGATTTCTAGTTAATAAAAATTTAATTGGGGATTTTAAATTTGATATTTTTCTAGTTTTTTTTTTTAGTTGCATGCCCAACTAGTTGATCTTTTTCTCTCTTTTGTCAGGGTAAGCATATAGAGATATAAAATTTCCCCTATTGCTATGTGTGCATCTCATAAATTTTGGTATATCATCTCATTATTGACATTATCTTTAATGAAATTATTGTTTCTATGATTTGTTCTTTGACCCATTCATTCTTTAAGATTAGGTTACCTAGTGTGTAATTAATTTTTAATCTGTGCTTCAAAGGTCATTTAATGCATGAAATTTTATTGCATTGTGGTCCAAAATATTATTTCTTGATGTCTCATGGAGTCATTAGCTTCCACTTGACTGATTCTAATTTTTAAGAAGTTATTTTCTCTAATATTTTTGTGCCTCTTTTTCCAAGCTGTTAATTTTCTTTTCATAATTTTCTTGTATCACTCTCATTTCTTTTCCCAGTTTTTCTTCTACCACTCTTATTTGATTTTTAAAATCCTTTTCCCTCCTCTTTTAAAAATATTTCTTTAGCTCTTCTAGGAATTCTTATTGGGCTTGTGCTCAATCTGCGTTTTTCTTTGAGGTTTTACTGGTAGATGTTTTCAATTCATTGTTTTCTTCCGAGCATGTGTCTGGAGCTTCCTTATCACCATATTAGTTTTTTATGGCTAAGTTCTTTTTTTTGGGGGGGGTGTCTATTTTTCCAAACTATTTTTTTTTTACTTTGGACTTTATGTTATGGACTCTGCTCACCTTTGATTGTGGTGATGAGGAGAATGACTGACCTGGTCTTTGTGATGACCTATGTCCTTCTGCTGTTTTCACAGCTATGTCTAGGGACCTGTAAGTTTTTGGTGCTTTGATAGTGATTTGATCCAAGAAGAGGTTTTATCACTGCCCTCCTGGTTTACATTCTGGTCCTTACCAAGATAGGGCTTCTGCTCCTTCAAAATGGCAACTACTCTTCTCCATCCTGAAAATGTGACCTAGAACTGGGTAATGGGCAGCAGGGCTGACAGATGATGCCTGATGCTGCACCCAATGCTAGTACAGGGGTCCCCTGGAGTCTCTTCCTGGCTAGGTATTTAGTCCCCCTACCATCCCAGGGAGCTCCAGATGTTCCCCCATTGCTGCTGCCACCTCCAAGGCCTATAGCCAGTGCTGATTCCACTGAGGTAGCCAGCCCTCCCTCTGTAGACTTCTCTTTCTGTGTTTCTAAGTTGCCCAGACTGGGAAAATGTCTTATTGTGACTTTTTGTTGTTTTTTTTTCTTCTGAGAATTCAGTTAAATGCATTTTTCAAAATAGTTATAGAGGAGTGTGTTGAGAGAACTTGGCAAGAATACTCGTCTCATTCTGCCATCTTGACTCCACCTTATTTCCGGAATGTGTTACATTGATATTTAATTGAATTGAAGAGATGAGCAAGGATTTCCTCTAGACTTCATAATGGAATTCATTTAACAAAAGAAACTTATTTAACAATATCATGGGAAAGATGTAGCAAAGATACAGTGTTGTTTCAGTTGGGCACAGATTTCTTCCTTCCTCGAGGTAATGACGTTTCTGGGGTATGGGAGATGCTATGGTCAAAATTGAATGAATGTGTCTTTGAGGGATGGGGTGAGCCTATCAAGCCTAGGACATTTTGTTTTCAGTGGTCAAATTGGGATCAGAAGAAGAAATTCTATCTGGGTGACTTTATAGAAGCCTTTTCTTTTCTACAGGTAGCCCTGGGACAGGATGGCCTGGAGCCTGCTGGTCCTTCTGCCCTGTCTCTTAGTCTCTGGTAGGAATTTCCCTCCTGTCCTCCTCTTCTCTCTCCTCCTTTGTGGCTGATGGCATTCTGATGTCTAAAGACATCGTTCTCCCACTGGTGTTCTCTTTGTGGTCCAGTGGAGCCACTGAGAGTCAGTGGCCAGACTGGGAAAGTTTAGCTGAAAGGTCTGGAATCACTAGTGCCCAACCCTCTAAGGCCTTCTGGGAGGGGTCCTGACATCAGCCTGGTCTTGGGATTCCCACCCCCCCCCCCCAGCCCCAGGTCTTGGACTTCATCCTAGAGCCTCCACATTCAAATAAATAGTGGCTGTAGGTATGCCCAGACTGTGGAGCTTATAGGAGAAGGTGATGTCTGTGCCCCATGAGAGGGGAATGGCTCAGAGGTAGGGCTGGGAGGATCATGGCTGGAAAATGGTGCTTGGGGAGTTATGGGTTAGGGGAAGATGGGATTCAGGTCAGGTTTATGATTAGAGTTGGGGGATGGGATTTGAGGAGTCATGAAAAGTCAGGCTCAGGGAGCAAGGCTGGTGAGATGTCAGGATTATGATCAGGACTGAAGTTTGGGATTTGTGGAGGCTGGGAATAAGGTTGAGGGGCTGGGACTGGGGGTGGCCAGGGCCCAGAATTCAGGGCAGGAAGGATACCAGGATAAGAGTCAGGGCAGGGGATTGGGATTTAGGCATTCTGAGACTTAGGCTTAGAGCTCAGAGCCAGAGGTCAGGGCTCAGGGAGTGAGATTGGGTCTCAGGAATCAAGGTCTCAGGTCTCAGGTCTCAGGGCTCAGTATTGCCTTTGCAGTGCATGGGAACTCAGCTCCAAGATTCACCAGTAACATGACTGTAGTTCGTCTGCCTGAGGACATGCCTACGGGTGAGTACCTACTGTGTCAAGGTGGGTGGCTTGGCCCAAGGTGCAGGCTACAATGAGGGACTGAAATGATCCCAGAACAGAAGGGACAGTGCTGTGGGCCCAAGTCCATTTGTTCTTGAGCCGATGACTCCAAATCATCTCTACTTCTTAGACACTAAATAGCAGACTTTAATGTCTCAAAAGGTCTTAAAAATTATCTGACTCAACTCTCATTTTACAGATCAGAAAACTGAGGCCTAGAAAGGGAAAGAACTTGCCCAAGATCCTGGGCTTGAAGCCATGTCCTCTGACTACCCATCTCCCCAGCTCTTCCTTGTGCTATCATGCTCTTATGTTTTTCAGTTTGGGAATTTCTAAAGATCGTTTCCAAATGTGTCCCTCCAGGTAACTGTCCCTGAAATCTTTTCATGAGTGGACTCCCATAGAAGAGCATAGCTAGGAGCTTGAGTTAACTAAGAGCTTTACTATTGCTCTCTGCCCTATTCCTCTCTGTGCCCATGAAGGAGTCAAGATGGGCCAGTGGAAAGAATACCAGAATAAAAAGCAGATGACCTATGTTTGAGTCTTTGCTATACTACTATCCTGCCCGGGCCATCTCCGGTTGTCCTGATCTATATCTGGCCACTTCGAGAACGAAGGACAAACCAAAAAACAAAAACAAACAAGCAAAAAAACCAATCACCACCAACAAAAACCAGACCAAAACAAAACAACCCCCCCCAAACCAACAACCAAAAACCCCCTGTCCTACTAATCATGCTGTGTTACTTTGAGTAAGTTGCCTCCCTTCTTAAGGTGTCATTTTCCTGATCTGTAAAATTAGGAGGTTGGACCCAACTCTAGGGTAATAGATGATGCCTAAAGCATTTTCCACCTCTGATATTCTATGTCCTAGAGTCCCTTCTGACTTTACCAGCCTATGTTATTTATTCTAACATTGCATTAAACCAGCACACACTTAATAAATGTCTATTCTCAAGCTGTACCTAGCTCTAATATTCTAAAATCTGTTGACCTCCAAGGTTCTTTCTAACCCTAATAAGCCATAAAGGTATGTCTACAAGACACAGGTACTCCTAGAAGCTCTTATAGGGCCATGTCCTGTCTCCCACTTAGGCCCAGGGGTCAACTATAAGGGAAACTCTGTGTGTGTATATGTGTGTGTGTGTGTGTGTGTGTGTGTGTGTGTGTGTGTATCTCAGGTCTTTCTTCCCTCTCCACCCACAGGGACTGTAGCTTTCTGGATTACAGCCACAGACCAAGATGGTGACCCTCTGGTCTACCAGATGAGTGGTCGTTATTCATATTTCTTTGAAGTCAACGAGAACACAGGGGAGACTACCCTGAGCAGTCCTTTGGACTATGAGGTAAAAGCTTGGGCATAAGATGGAAGCAGGTCATCATTGGCTGAAACTGGAAGGAGGATTAGAGGGAGTCCTTTGGGAAGATAGCACACAAAACATTAAGGTCTAGGGACTGAATTGGCTCAGAGCAGGACACTGTACCATGAGAGGCAGCATGTATTTGGAGTCAGGTTCAAATGCAGCCTTAGTCACTTTTTTAAAGTATTATTTATTTTTAACATTCATCTTTTTAAAATTTTAAGTTCTGAATTCTCTCCCTCCCTCCTACCTCCCCCCCACCCATTGAGAAGACAAGAAATGTGGCATCAATTATAATGTGAAATCATGCAAAACATATTTCCATATTTGCCACGTTACCAAAAAAAGCAAGAAAAATAAAGTGAAAAAAATTATGCTTCAATCTGCATTTAGAATCCATCAATTCTTTCTCTGGAGGTAGATAGCATTTTTCATCATAAGTCCTTTGGAATTGTCTTGGATCATTGTATTGATCTGAATAGCCAAGCCATTCATAGCAGACCATTGTACAATATTGTATAATATTGCTATTACTGTGTATTTTGTTTTCCTGGTTCTGCTCACTTCACTTTGCCTTAGTTAATGTATGTCTTCCCAGGTTTTTCTGAAAGCATCTTGCTCATCATTTCTTATAGCACAGTAGTATTCCATTACAAATATGTACTACAACTTATCCAGTCATTCCCCAATAGGCAGACATCCTCTCAGTTCCTAGTTCTTTGCCATCACAAAAAGAGTAGCTATAAATATTTTTGTACATATAGTTCCTTTTCCTTTTCCTTTGATCTTTTTGGGATGCAGACCTAGTAGTGGTATTGCTAGGTCAAAGTTTATTCGCAGTTTTATAGCCCTTTGGGCATAATTCTAGATTGCTTTCCAGAATGATTGGATCAGTTCACAACTCCACCAACAGTGCATTAGTGTCCCAGTTTTCCCACATCCTTTCCAACATTTATCATTTTCCTTTTCCATCATACTAACAATCTGACAGGTGTGAGGTGGTACCTTAATTTGCATTTCTCTGATCAATAGTGATTTAGAACATTTTTTTCATACTACTGTAAATAGTTTTGATTTCTTCATCTGAAAACTTTCTGTTCATATGCTTTGAACATTTGTCAATTAGAGAATGACTCTTATTCTTATAAATTCGATTCAGTTCCCTATATATATTCCCTATACATGAGGCCTTTATCAGAGATAAAGTAAAAAGTAAAAATACCTCAGACATTTATTAGATGTGTGACCCTAGGCATTTAACCTCTCTGGACCTCAGTTTCCTCACTTGTAAGATGATGGCATTAGACTAGATGATCTCTAAGGTCCCTTCTAGCTCTAAATCAATACTTTAAAATTTTTTTATTAATTTATTTTGATTTATCAACAATCACTTCCATAAGCTTTTGAGTTTTAAATTTTTCTCCCCCTTCCTCCCTAAGATGGTGTGCAATCTGATATAGGCTATACATATTCATTCCTATTAAACATATTTTCATATTAGGCATGTTGTAAGGAAGAATTAGAACCAATAAGAACCACCAGAAAGAGGAAACAAAACAAAATAGAAGAAAAAAAGAGCAAATAGTATGCTTCGATCTGCATTCAAACTCCATAGTTCTTTCTTTGGATGTGGATAGCATTTTCCATCATGAGACCTTTGGAGATGTCTTAGATCCTTGCATTGTTGAGAAGGGCTAAGTCTATCAATGTTAGTCATTGAACAATGTGGCTGTTACTGTGTACAACATTCTCCTGGTTCTGCTCACTTCACTCAGCATACAAGTCTTTCTAAATCAATACTTCTAAGACAGGAATAGTACTTACTCTGGAAGTCAATATGGGTGGGGAGATGACAAATTTGGGCATAGGGTCAAGGAAATCTGTACAGAGTGGTCTGGGTGGAGGATATAGATCAGGGGATCTGGCAGATGACATGCACTGGGAGATCTGAGTCAGAAGGCACAGAATGGGAGAATTCTGGGAGAAGGGACAGGTTGGGAAAATATGGATAGATCTGGGAGGGAATGGGCCACATTTGGTAACTTGAAGAGCTCAAGCTGGAGGAAGGAACTAACGATATAGCTTTGGTGGAAGTGTGGGCACTGGATAGGTGACCCTTCATAGTTCAACCCCCTGAAGTTTGTGGTTCATGCTCAATGGACCCATGTTGGCTCAGCTTTGCATCACCTCTCCCTTCATGCTTTTCCACAGACACTGTTCCTTTTCGATGTCACCATCTCTGTGTGGGATAATGTAAATCCAGAGGTATGTTGGGGGAATGCCTAGGGCTTGGAAAGTTGAGGTAGAGATCAGGGTTAGGAACCCCAGAGGACTAGTTTAGGACATAGGCAATTCCTGGGTTCATGATGTTCTACTTTTCCCTTCGGCATGGCCAACAGGTAATCATAACCTGAGACAAACCTCAGGGTAAAGAAAGGGGAATCCCAGCTGGGAGGTGAGCAAGAATAAAACAAAAGCCAGGCTGGGTTGGTTCCAGGGTGCCTGAGGATTACCGAGATTCAAGCACCTGGGTCTGAGACAAGATGGAAGATGAGTTGCTTGAAAAGAGACTTGGGATGAGAAGTCATTTGACATCCATATAGAATGTCAAAGCAAAATAATAGGGATTGCCAGATCACTTGTCTAGTTTGACCTATCTCCTAAAATCCCAGGCTTTTTCTGACAATGACTGGCATTTTCTGCTTCTCTTCTTACCCCCAGAACCAGGATAGTCAGAAGTGGGCTTAGTGATGTCCCTTCCTCACTCAGCCAGACCTATCAAATTATGGCTTATGCATAAGGAGCCTCGCTGTACTGAACCTTAAGCAAGCTCTGCGATGTGGTTAGGCAGCTCTGAGAATTGAATAAGTTCAATTCATCCAATATTTATTAAACACCTACTATGTACAAGGTATCATATTCTGGGGTTATCTATATGTTATATAGATGTGACATGGTCTTTACCTCTAGGGATCATACAGTCTAATACCGGCCTCCTCTTCCCTCATAAAGGTGCAGAAGCAGTTGCAAATCATTGTGCTTGACACGAATGACAATGAACCAGTCTTCATGGACACACCCTATTCTACTAGTATCAATGAGGTAGAGTATGCTATAAGCTCAGGAGTCTTGGGTGGAGGGCAGTGGGATATTTGTAGTGTAAAGCTCAGGACCAAGGAAATTGGGATTTGGGATTAGAAGCAAGGAGAGAAGACCAAGGTCAGTCCAGAGAGGGTATAAATCTAGGGGTCAGGACCAAGGAGAGAGGGCCCTGGGGCAGGCTGAGTGGGGCAGGGGTCTGAAGTCAGGACCAAGAGCAGAGATCCACATTGGGTTTTTGCAATTTGTGGACTTAGTGAGAGTAATGGTACTGGTGGTGTTGAGACAGAGAAGAATAAAATATCATTCTTACCATCCAGGATTTTCAATTCTGTCCCTTCCTGGGGGCATCATATGTAAAATAATTCTATGGTGATTTAAAATTTGCCAAGTGCTTTGTGGGAGATAGGTAAGTGTTATTATCTCCATTTTCCTGATGGGAAAAACAAGTCAGAGAGATGAAATGACTTGCCTACAGTCATACAATTTATCAGTGGCAGAGTCTAGATTCCAAGTTAGGGCTCTTGATTCCACATCTAACGAAAGTCTACAGGCAGGATTATCAGTTAGGAGACTATTGCAGCAGTCCAGATGAGAAGTGCTAAGGACTTGAACTAGGCTGGAAAGGTAGGCATTATGGGGTAAAGGAAAGTGCACTAGGTCAAAACTTAAGCCTAGAGTCTAGTCCCTGCCACTAATTCAATATCACCTTGGGCAAGTCAGTTTCCATTTGTGGGCCTCAGTTTTTCCATTTGTAAAATATGAAGTTTGGATTCATCGTCCTCTGATGCTCTTTCCAACTCTACCAGTGTGAGTCAATGAATCCAAGAGAAGATGGAATAGATGAGAGATACAGTGGAGGTAGAACCTGCAAAACTCAGTGACTGATTATATATAAGGAATAAAGGAAAGAAAAAGACTTTTCTTGCCCAATTGATGAGGAGGATGGTGGAAATAGTAATAGGGAAGTCAGGAAAGGGGGCAGGTTTTGAAGGGAAAATGATGATGCTAGTGTTGAACATATTGACATCCGGGAGTGACATCAAGGCTCAGATATCTAGCAGGCAGTTGGAAATAGAGGACAGATCTTCAGAGAGATGTTGGGGTTAGAGATATAGATTGAGTAGTTAGTTATCAACACAAAAGTGAACATTGAAATCATGCAAGTAAATGAGATTATCAAGGAATGGAGAAAGAAAGAAGAAATGGACTAAGCACTGACACTTTGGAAAGGTCTATTCTAAGGACACAGGAGGAAGTGTTAGTTTCAGAGACAGGTGGCCATAGAGAAGATGGGAGGAGAACCAGGATAGGGCATTATTATAAAAGACAAGGGAAGAGAGAACATCCAGGAAGAGGCAGTTGTGTGTCAGATGCTTTGGAGAGGAGAATGAGGACTGAGAAGATTGGATTTGATGACTAGAAGGTCCCTGGTCACATTGGAGAGAGCAGTTTCAGTTAACTGGTAAGGCTAGAAGCTAGATTGCAGGGGCTGAAGACAGTGGATGGAGAGTGTGTGAGACAGGGTACATGAACCATTCTTTCTAAGAGACTGTCAATGATAGGGAGGAGAGAAATGGTTCAGTAGCTTAGGAAGGTTGTAGGATACAGAAAAGGCTTTTTTTCTTTTTTAGGATTAAGGTGGCTGGAATATGTTTATGGGCTGAAGGGAAAGAGCCAGATGAGGAGAACTTGAAGAAGCAGGAGAAAGAAAGTAATGATTAGTAGACTAAGGTTCTGGAGGAAGTGGGAAGGAATGGGATCGGGGACCAGGAGGAGAGGTTAATCTTAGTGAAGAGGGGTGACACATCTGAAACTTGAAGGAAGGCGGAGAGGACAGATGAATATGTTTGTAGATGGAGAAGAAGATGAGGGGATCTAAATCTAATAAATTTGCTTTCAGTGAAGTAAGAAACAAGATCATCTACTGGGAGTGAAGGGATGAGGGTCAGAAGGAAAAGTGAGAAAGGCTTGAAGGCGAGAGAGAGAGAGAGAGAGAAAGAGAGAGAGAGAGAGAGAGAGAGAGAGAGGGAGAAGGAGGTTTGAATTAACCTATGGAGAATGGAAGAGAAGGTGGCAGTAATGAGGAAATCTCTCTCTCTCTTTCTCTCTACCCTCTCCTCCTTTCACGAGTTTGGCTCCTAAGACTTCCCTTTGGGCTTATGCCAGTACTACAGACCTGGATAGAGGACTTAAGAACTGGAGTCCCTAGGCAAGGAAGGAGGAACTTCTGGGTTTAGTCACTGAGCATCAGGTTGCTCTAGAGGGAGGTCTTCCAGGTCTTGGAAGCTGAGGAGGCCCGAGTCCTTACCCACTCCTTCCCCTATGCCAGGAGGGTGGCTCAGGTCCCCCACTGGGGTTTGAGCTGATCCAGAAGTGGGGGTGGTGTGCACAGCCTCTTAAACTCCTGAGCCTTCTCTTCTCTATGTTATAGACCCTGCCTGTGGGCTCCCAGGTTTACACAGTGAGAGCAGAAGACCCGGACACGGGGCTAGGTGGCGTAGTGAACTACACCATTCTGGAGGTGAGTCAGACAGGGAGCGAAGGTGTTCTGAGATCACCTAGGGTGGAGGGTCATTCATGGGCTATATGGATCCACGTGACAGCAGGAATCTTTGGAACTCCAACTGATCTAGAGGCTTGGGTCTGTCCTAGGAACCAGAAAGCTGGATTGCTCCTTGTGTGACCACAAGAGGGCAGTGTCTTCCCACACAATTAGGTGGCCCCAACCCTAGGATGTGGAAGAAGAGGCACTGGGAGATGTCCCTTCCCCTTACATTGGACAGCTTCAGGGCTGTGAGCCGGCAGGGAAGAAGGAGGGCTATCTGATGGGTGAAACAGAACAGCTCAGAGGAAATGGACTCCAGCACCAGCTCTGCCACTCACTCCCAGTGACTAAGCAAGCTGACTCTTGTGAGCTTTGGTTTCTCCATTTATATAATGAGGGCATTGGATTAAAATGGTCTTTAAGGTCCATCCCCAGTCTGACATTCTAGCTTTATGTTCTAAGGACTCTGATACCTCTCACATGCCATAATTCCATCTTTGTCTTCTGAGGCGAAGATCCCTCAAAAAAATCACAGAATCATCTACTGTCAGAGTAGAAAGAACCTTAGAGAGTAGCTAATCCAATTAAGTGACCTACTCAGAGTTAGAGCTTAGATTTGAATATCTCAGGGTTTAGACTAGAAAGGAACCTGGAGACCTTGGACCTCTTTATTCTACAGATGAAGAAACTGAGGCAAAGGAAGGGGAAGGGACTGGCCGGTCATGTGTCACGTCATTCACAGAACCTGAACTGTGGTCAAACCTATGTATTCCCAGCCCAGGGTCTGAGGAGATGGACTAAACTGGGTACTAGGACCAGGGCTGCAGGAATTCTTGTGTGTGTCTGTGTGGAGGGACAAATTCAGGAGTGAAGGATGGCAGGGATGGAGGTGGGGCAAAGGGCAAAATCCAGTTTCAAGTGTGTCCATGCCAGGAGAGGGTCTTGTCTCCTTGTCCCTTCCCCCACCATGATTGTGAGGATGGGCCCCAGGAAAGAGGCCCCACTGAAATAAGACTGAGACAGTTGCACTCTGAGTCAGTTCAGACAAGTAGAGGTGGCAAGGTGAAATTTGGGCAAAGGATCAATGCTGGGGAGAAAAGAACCATCTCTCCTAACAGTAGTTCCCTAGGTGCAAGACCCAGTTAGGATGGCTGGTTAGTTATGACTGTAACCAGGACTCCTGTGTTCTTGTCTCAGTTCTAGCTGGGGGTCACATGGGCCTTCAACATTTCCAATTGATTCCCTAATAACTTGGGTTTAATGGGGAGGGGAGTAGTGAGAGTGGTTGCCAGTTGGAGGAGGGGAGGAATTGCCTATGGCTCCCTGCCCAACTTCAGAGGTTCCTAAGACCTGGATGGAAGAGATGGAGGGCAGTGTGTTGGGTGGGAGCAGAACTAGAGAAAGGGAGGCCAGGATCCTTGAGTAGCCTCAGAGCTGACTCAGCTGTGCCCAAGCCTACTCTCCTTCAGGGCCCAGAACAGTGGCCTGCCCTTGCCCCATGGTAACTGGGCTGAACTCTCGTTTGATCTCTATTCCCACCCCTATGTCAGGTCATCCCCAACACTGCTGAAAACCAGAAACTCTTCTCTATCCTGCCCAATGGAACCATCATCCTTGAAGGTCCTCTCAGCTACAACAACAAAAGCGTATTCTACCAACTGAAACTGCAGTCTTGTGTGAGAGCAGACTCTGGTCTGGGGGAAGGGAAACTTTTTGGGGGTGGAGTGAGGACTTCCTAGGGGTGAGAGAGGACTTCCTGTTGGGGAGAAAGGAGCCTTCCTAGGGCCTGATTAGAGTGTTCTGGTTGGAAAGCTAGGGAGAAAGGAGGAAGGGGAGGAGGTAGAATGAAGGAGGTCTCACAAACAGGCCCACGCTGCCATTCTCTGCAGGACCAAGACCTGGATAAACCATTGTGTTCCCAACCAGCCTTCCTGACAATTACAGTGATAGACCTTCCAGATCTGGACCCAGAGTTTCTCCAGGAGCCTTATACAGCTTCAGTAGAAGAAGATGCAGCCATGGTGAGGCAGGGGCTAGGAGTGGGTGGGTGGGTGGACCTTGGGATGGGGTGGTCTAGGTCTTCCTTGGGATCCCCTTTCTGATTAAGCTGGTGGCCTTTCCTTCCAGGGCACCACGGTGTTGACCTTGAAGGCTATGGATGGAGACAAAGGCATCAACGATCTGGTCAAATTCTCTATTTCTAGTGAGAAGACAGTGGGCCTGCTGGGTCTTCCTTTTCTTCCTTCCTCTTTCCTTTATACCTTCTCCTTTGTCTATTTCTTCCTCCTCTCTTCCCTCTCCTTCCCCTTCCCCTCTCTTCCTCCATAGACTAGAGCTGGAGGGGAGTGGAATGGAAAAGAGATTGCATTGAGGTCACCTTCTTGGGATCACAGACTCAGGACCACTGAGATTTAGAGAAAAGAAATGGGAAGAGAAATGGCAGAGGGCTAGTAAACAGCAGGATATCTTCCCCACATGCCCAGGATCCTGAACTTGGCTTCAGGATGCATGCCTATAGTTTCTCTCTCTCTTGGGCAATCTGCTTGGTTTGGGGTTGGAGACTGGGCCCTCAGCCTGCCAGCCCCCATTCCCTCACCCCAGTCTTCCTGCTCAGATTCTACAAGGCCTTGGTTCAGCATCGGGGAGGAGGATGGGGTCGTCGAGGTGAGCCACCCTTTGGATCGGGAGCTACTGCTGGATGAGGATGAAGAGGTGCACTTAGAGGTCACGGTGAGCTCATAGATGAAGAAGTGACACAGGCCCCACCCAGTCCCAGCTAAAGTTGTTTATTTTGCTGGCTACTGGAATCCTTTTCTCTTTTCTGCCCTCCCCTTTTCTCCTTTTCCCCCATCCCTCTCCACATCTCTCTGTATCTATGAAGAAATGGGCATTGTCTGTGGATATTATTGTAGAGAGGGAGATAGATAAATACATAGAGCATTTATTAAGTGCTTACTATATGCTAGGTACTCTGCTAAGAATTGAGAATACTAATAAGAGCAAGACAGTCCTTGCCCTCAAAGAGCTTGCATTCTAATGGGGAGGGGGAGACAAAACATAAAGGGATGGGTGTAGTGGATACACACCTGGTGGCCTAGCATGGAAATGGATGTTCTGGGCAAGATAAAGCAAAAACAATCAGAGCCAGGGTCTCAGGAGTGGAGTCCAAAGTTCTGGGAAAGAGGGTCAAATTCACTATCTCCAGGGAAATGTTGTAAAAAGAACATTGTCTACTTGTGGGATGCTTGGAGAATATTTCTTTGGGGGTGGGATTTGAGTTATGTGTCTCTGAGGTAGTGATAGACTTGCAAACATGGAAGTCTGGCCACATACTTGGGTGGGTGGAGTCAGCTCTAACCTCACTTCCTTCTATCCCCCTCTCCTCTTTGGATAGGAAGAACCTTAGAGTTGGAAGTGGTGGCACTAGAGGGCAGTGTTATACAGCCAGGCCAGGCTTAGTGACTATTAGATATGGGCAGGGCTCCAGAGCCCAAGAAAGTAGACTGCCCAAATTGAGGAATCCTGGGATAAGGTCCTGGGGCTGTGTAATTCAACACTTCTGTGGTCTCTAAGCTTTCTGTAGTATCTGGGTGTCTAATCAGAAGGAAGTAGCTTTTCAGACCAGGCTAGTTATGGACTGCTGGTGAGTTGGAGACAGATACTTTCACTCACTCACTCACTCACTTACTTACTCATTCATTCATTCATTCATTCATTCATCCATTCAACATTTATTAAAAGTATGTGTCCACAGAGGGGTACTTAAAAAGGAATTCCAACAACGTTCTCTCCAAACATCATAATCAACAATTCAAATAAATAAACATTTAATAAGCAACTGCTTTGTGTGGACCCCTGTGCTGAGGTCTAGGAATATTTAGATGAGACATGGTCTTAGTGTTTTGTTTTGTTTTTTGATTATTTTTTCCTAATGAACAAAAAGTTATTTTCTCTCCCTGCTATCTTCCCCCCTCCCTATCCGAAAAAGAGAAGAGGAAAACGAAATCCTTGTGACAAATATTCATAATTAAGCAAAATAAATTACCACACTGTCCATGTCCAGAAAATACATATGTTTCAGTCTGCACCCTGAGTCCATCATCTCTCTGTCAGGAAAAGAGTAGCAAGCTTCATCATTGGTCCTCTGGAATTGTGATTGTTCATTGTTCTTAATTAAGTCTTTCCCAGTTGTTTGGCTTTACGATGTAGTTATTGCATACTCTTCTCCTGGTTACGTTTACTTCATTCTATATCACTTCATACAAATCTTTCCAGGTCTCTCTGGAACCATCATTTTCATCATTTCTTACAGCACAGCAATATTCCATTGGATTCATATGCCATAATCTATCTAGCTATTCCTCAATTGATCTTCATCCCTCAGTTTCCCACTTTATCACCACTTCAAAAAGCACTACCACAAATATTTTTGTGCGTTTAGATCCTTTCCCTCTTGTTCTCTTTGGGGTGTAGGCCTAGTAGCAGTTTTGTTGGGTCAAAGGGTACACACAGTTTAATAATTTTCTGGGCAAATTGCTTTTCAGAATGGCTGGACCCTGTTTTTCTGCAGCTCCTCTATCACTTCTCATTTTTTCTTTTCGGGAGTCAACTTTGCCAGTCTTATGGATGTGAAATGGAAACTCAGATCTGTTTTAATTTTCATTTTAAATATTTATTAGTAATATGGAACATTTTTTCACATGGCTATTGATAGCTTGAATTTCTTCCTTATAAAACTGTCTATTCATGTCCTTTGACCATGTATCGATAGGGAAATAACTCTTACCCTTTTTTTTTCTTTGAGGCAATCAGGGTTAAGTGACTTGCCTAGAGTCACGCAGCTAGTAAGTGTCTGAGGTCAGATTAGAACTTAGGTCCTCCTGACTCCAAGGCTAGTGCTCTCTCCACCGCTCCACCTAGTTGCCCCAATATGCTAATTCTTATAAATCTGAATCAATTCCGTATGCATCTTAGAAATTCTGAGACCCTTATTGGAGCAAATTGCGGCAAAGATTTTTTTCCTCCCGTCACCTGTTTCCCTTCTAATTTTAACTGTATTGGTTTTGTGCATGCAAAACATTTTACATTTTAGATAATTAAAATTGTCTATTTTTATCTTTGTTTGGGGTCCCTGTCCTCTTGAAGCAGGGAGATAGAACACAAATAGGTAACTGCAATATGCAAGATCACATGCTGAGTGAGCTAGAATAAATAGGCATTCAACAGACGAGGAAGGGAGAGGGAGGGAATCCTAGGTACAGAGAATGGCATGAGCAGAGGCATGGAGTTGGGAAGAAACAACACTCTCTTTCCTTTAAAAAATGATTGATATCTTTGGTTTTTACAACACCTTCATTTCTGAACATATCCCTCCTTTCTCCCCGCCCCCCACCATGAAATCATACCTTGTAACAAAAAAAGAAAGCAAAAAGCAGTTCAGTTGAGGCTAACAGCATATGCCCAGTTCTGCATCCATCTTTCCCCACCTCTGCAAAGAAGGGAGAAAAGTTCATTTTCTCATTTCTTCTTAGGAGACAGGCTTGCTCATTGTACTTACACAGCATTCAGGCTTTGTGGTTGTGATTCTTTTGTTTTGTTTTGTTTGCTTTGGGTTTTTTTGCTAGGCAATGGGGTTAAGTGACTTGCCCGGTGTCACACAGCTAGGAAGTTCATGCATCTGAGGTCACATTTGAACTCAGGTCCTCCTGACTCCAAGGCCAGAGCTCTATCCACTGTGCCACCTAGCTGCCCCTGTTGTGGTTCTTACTGATTACATTGTTGCCTCATTGATTATATTGTTTTCTTGGATCTTTGTACTTTACCCTGCATCAGTTCCCATAATTCTTCCCACTGCAACCCATAGTTCTCATGTGAAGTTGATAATGAAAATATTCTTTAGTACATCAGAAGACCTAACACTATGTAGTGAATTGTGTGCTGGAGCCAGGAAGACCTGGATTCCAATTCTGCTCCAGTCACTTAGTAGCTGTGTGCTACTGAGCAAGGCACTTAACTTCTGGTTTCCTTATTTGTAAAATGAGGGAGCTGAACCAAATACCTTCTGAGAAGGTCTCTTCCATCTCTGAATCTATGAGCAGTAATTCCATTGGTATGGGAACCTTATTTTATTGACCCAAATCTCTCCGTACCTTAGTGAGTGAGTGGAGGAGTACCATCTTGTGGTCAACCTTCACTTCCTCCTGCTCTTCCCTCTCTAAGCCTCTCCCCACTTTTTATCTGCAGGCCACAGAGATCCATCTCAACATCTATGGGCAAGAGGCAAAGGCCAGGACCTGGGTCACCATAAGAGTGACAGATGTTAACGATCACTGCCCCCAGTTCTACCACTGCATCTTGCCTGACTGTGATTTCTCTGATGATAAGGTGGTATCTACTTTTAGTGGCTATGTGGCTGAACACTCCTCCACCCGACTGCCCATTAGTAACCTGTCCATGGTGGGTTATGATCCAGACAAGGTAAGGCACTGTCCCTATGCTGCCAACCAAACTGTACTAATGCTTCCCTCTGTTTCCTCCTTGAGTTCTCTTTCCTAGAGCTGCCTACCCCTCCCTTGACTGCTAACCACTCCCTCCATGTGAGACCATGCAGCGAGTTAGGGGAGGGGTAGGATCTTTGGGAACCAGCTGGAAGCTCCTTGATGAGATAGATAGTGATAGGTAGGAATAGATGGAGATTTTATGGGGGTAAATGAAAGTGGATAAATATAGATAATGGTAAATGGCGTTGGGTGGGAGTTGGATGGAATAGATGTAGATAATGGTGAATGGTGATAGCTAGGATATGGGGATGAATGGGAATGTATGGATAGAAATAAATGCTCATTTAATTGAATTGGATAGAAGTGAGATTCATTACTATTATTGTTAAATAAGGATAGACTGGATGCAGGAAGGGAACTCTAACTAACAGCACCTATATCTTTCTTATTTCCAGAACCTCAACGGTACTTTTCTGCTATCCCTGTCTGGCCCTGATCACATGGCATTTACCGTGTCCCCTGAAAAGGTGGTGAACACAGGAGAGGTACAAGTATTGGTCTGGCAGCCTAACCTTGTGGATTTTGAGCTGCAGCAGACAATGGAAGTAGAGGTGAGAGATGGTGGGACTGCTTATTGGGTTTTAGAGCTGAAAGAGACCTTAGAGATCACTTAGTCCACCCCCCCCCCACCTTTCTACAAAGGGGGCTATTGATGCCAAGAAAGGGGGAGTGACCTTACCAAGATCTGCTAGCTAAGTAAGTAGCAGAGTTGGGATTAGGATTCAGGTCTTTCTGACTACAAATGCAGTGCTCTTTCCCATTCATTATGCTAATTCCTTAATACTTGTACCCCTGAGGCAGGTCATAGCCCAAGACTCTGGCAACCACATGGTCTCCACTGCCACAGTAATCATCCACGTGGAAGATATTAATGACCATGCACCTCAGTTCAATGAGAGCCAGTACATTTTATATGTATATGAGCACTGCCCAGATGGCACAGTGGTTACCAACGACATCAAGGTGAGGGATGGAAAAAGAGGACCAGGGGCTTCCTGGGGTGGAGGGTGGAAAGGACTCCCCCAACCCCTAGGACTGGCCTGGGCTAACATTCCCAGTTATGGAAAGAATTAGTGTTTCTCAGAGTGTCTATGCTTGAGAAACATGGAGCAATATGTAGTGAGAGTCAGCAAAAGCCAGGAGAAAGAGAGTGCAAGTGTGTGTGTCGGGGGGGGCAGTGGGTATCTGTTTGTCTGTCTGTCTATGTCTCAATAAATGAATGAGAGTGACACAGAAAAAGGCATCAGGGAGACAGAGACAGGAAAAGACAGACAGGCAGATTCAGAAAGGAAAATAGAATCATAGACTCAGAATCCCTGAATATCAGATTTGGAGGGGCCTCAGAGGACACGTAAATGAAGTCCTACTTGAGCAGAAATCCCATCTATAGCATTTCTAATAAATGGTCATGCAGCCATCACTTGAATACCTAAAGGGATGGGAAAATCACTATCTCTTGAAGCAGTCCATTCTACTTTGGGACAGCTCTAGTTCTTAGGAAATGTTTTCTTGTCAAGAAGACAAATCTGTCTCTGATCTCTGATGCCAAGCAAAATAAGTGCAGATTTTCAGATATGTGAAAACCACGATTATGTCCCTCTTGCTCCAAGTCTTCTCTTCGCCAGGCTACACATCTGAGTTCCTTCAGCTAACTAATGTATGACATGATCTCTAATCTTTTCATCAAGCTGGTCACCCTTTCCTGGACATACTCTAACTCTCCAGGAGTAGAGGGTGGGAGTCACTGGGCAATAAGGTGTGGGAGATTTGGCCAATTGATAGTACCCTTGGGTTATATTTATCTAGGCCACAGACCCTGATACTGACTTCCGAGGACACATCACCTACCAACTTATCTCAGGGAACAGGTATGTACCTGCTTGGCCTCATGGAGTTAGTGGACTTGGGGCTCGAATGGTAGCTGACCCTTCAAGGCAATAGCAGACTTATTGAAGGAGCATAGGTAGACCTTCCTATTCCCAGCAATTTTCCTCCTTCCCCTCTAATCTGGCCGCCATAGTGCGGATATCTTTCAGGTGAACTCCAGCTCTGGAGAGATAACAGTGAAAAATGGCACCCTACTGGACCGGGAACTGCAATCTGTCTACTATCTCACACTGCTGGCCACAGATGGAGGTGGCCTGACGGGCTCCACCCTCCTGCAGGTCATCCTGCTGGACATCAATGACAACGCCCCTGTGGTTACTGGTTCCTACAACATCTTTGTCAAAGAGATGACAGACGATGTCTCAGTGACCATCCAGGTGAGGGCTGGGAGTGGAGAATTGGAATGGGCTCAGTAGTGGATACTGGGGCAGAAAAAGAACCACTGTGGGAAGAAGGAAGTAAACCTTGGGACTGGGCCTTAATCACAGTGAGAAGAATTTAGATTAAACATTTGGAGGAACCATGGAATTCTCTGAATTCCCTCAAGCTCTTTACAGAAGAGTAAATTGAGGTTATGCAACTTGGTGCTCCGGTAGACCAATGCTCTAGCATTAGACCTGGGAGTCAGAAGACCTGAGTTCAAATCTGTCATTCTGGCTATGTAACCCTGGGGAAGTATGCCTCAGTTTCCTCATCTGTAACATGGGAGTAATAATAATACTAGTCTCCTAGGGTTATTATGAGGATCAAATAAGTTAATATTTGTAAAGTACTGTGTAAACTTTTAAATGCTTCAGAAGTATAAGCTATTAAACTGAGGTGTAGTGAGTTCAAGAAACTTGTCCATTGCCACCTGGCTGCTGAGCCAGGATTCTGACCACTGACCAGTGTTTGCATTATTACTGGATGGGCTTTGAGGTGCTGTCATTCACATAAGACAGCTACCAGGTGGGTGACATGGGGCACAGTCAGGCATAGCAATGGTTATGGGTGCTGACCTCTCCTTTCTTCCTTTCCTCTTCCCCCACCTTGAAGGCCTATGACAATGATGAACCCGGCACTGATAACAGTGAGATTCGTTTTAAACTCCTGCCTGGGCCATATAGTGACAACTTCACCGTGGACTCAGTGAGTGGATTACTGAAGAACCAGGGGCCCCTGGACCGTGAAGCCATTGACCCCAACCTGGCAGGAAGGATCGTGCTGACAGTGCTTGTCTATGATCTAGGAGTTCCCTCGCTCAACACCACAGTGAATGTTACCATCTACGTAGAGGTAACAAGGCCAAGGGAAAGAACCACTCCTCCTCCCACTGGTTTTAGGCTCCTATAGCCTTCCTTAGGCTCACTGCCTTCCATTCTCTACCTATAATTTAGAGTTTCTTGGGAGGGGGTGGGGGAGAGGTCTTAATTGCTTTGGCCTTAAAGTGGCCTAGATATAGAAGGTTCTGTTTTTTAGAGGCTGTGAGTTCTAGGTCAGGAAAAAAAAAACATCTTGGGTCAGTCATTGCCCACTCTCAGTTTCTTCAGTAACCCCCTTCCCAAAACTCACTGAGCTCTTGCCGACTCTGCCACAGTCCTCATGTGGGATAGTATATCCGTCTCTACTGATGAGGAGAGAGTCCCACACCAGTGGGCCAAAGCCAACTAGGGCTACACTTCCAATTAATTAAACAACAAGTCAATAAACTCAACCCATTTAGTAATTTTATCTATTAATCACATTTATTAATTAATTTTTTATTTTATTTTTATGTTTTATATTTATTTATTATATATTTGTTATATATAATATGTAATTATATTTATTATACATAATATACAATTATATTATATTTATTATATAATTATATTAAATATAATATATAATTATATTTATTATATATAATATATAATTATATTATATTTATCATATAATTATATTAAATATAATATATAATTATATTTATTAGGTATGATATAATATATAATTATATTGTATTTATTTATCTATTATATTTATTTATTAATTTATTAATCACTTAGAACACGTAATATCTTGTGCTAGACACTAGGAATATGCAGACCACAATAAAGCCATACCTTGTCCTCAAGGGGCTTGCATTTTGCTGAGGGAAAGCAAAATGGTTGCTGATCAGTGTACATGGGGATACATGGCATTACAGAGGTAATTTTAAAAACAAGAGAACATTGACAGCTGTGTGAGTGGGTGTCAGGGAAGGCTTCACAGAAGTGGCATCTTGGCTGAGCCTCCAAGGAAGATCTAAGATTTTGAAGGGCAGAGATAAGTAGGGAGAACATTGCCACCTGTGTGAATGTATGGCGATGGAGGTGGGGAGCAGGGCAGTCTCATGTCAGGTTTGGAGAATAATTAGCATTCCAATTTGGGAGGGACATACCATGCAATGTGCAATGAGGCTAGAAAGGAGGCTATATCTAGATTGTAGAGGACTTTAAATGCCTCCCTGAAGAGTTTGCATTGTATCCTAAAGGTAAATAGATAGTCACCTGAAGGTTTTTGACCAAGGGAAGTGACATGGTCAGACTGGCAATTTGGGAAGATTATTTTGGCAGCTGTGTGGAGTGTGGATTAGACAGAGACAGCACTGGAAGCTGGAAGGCAGGAGGCTAATATAATAGTCAGTATGGCAAAAGACCTGAAATGTCTCAGTACCCATGTGAGACAGAAGAGGAGATGTGACATTTATTGAGGAGGCAGCTTGGAGGTGCAGTGGGTGAGAGCATTAGACTTAGAGCCAGGAAGACCTGAGTTCAAATCCCATCTCAGACACTTGTTAGTTGTATGAGAATGGGCAAGTCACTTAATCCCTCTCTCAGCCTCAGTTTCCAGTTCTATAAAATGGAGATGACTAGCACTTTCCTCACAGAGCTGTTGTGAGAATCCAGTGAGATAACATTTGTACAGTGATTAATAGACCACAGAGTGCTTTATAAATGATAGCTATTATATACGGGTTAATTGGAAGATATTTATTTTTTAAAATATTTTATTTTTTTCCAATTACATGTAAAAACATTCTTTTTTCAAATTGAGTTCCAAATTTTCTCCTCCCCTTCCCTCCCTTCCCTCACTGAGAAGGCAAGCAATTTGACATAGGTTATACATGTATAGTCATGCAAAATACATTTAATGGGAAGATACTTATATTCTCAACAGAAATTGGGAAGTTAGGAAGAAGGATGGGTTTTAGGAGAAGATAATCCATTTTGAACATGTTGAGCTTGAGATATTTACAAGATATCCTGTAGAAAGTATCTAGCGGACAGTTGATGATTTGAGATGAGAGTTTAAGAGAGATTATGATTGAAGAGAGAGATTTGAAAGGCACCTGAAGAGATGATTAGTGAACACATGGGAACAGTTGAGAACATCAAAAGAAAATGTAGAGTGAGAAGAGAGCCCATGACAGAGCCTTGGGGGACACCCACACGTGGGAGGCAGATGATGGATGATGGGACAGCAAAAGAGTCTAAGAAGTAGTGGTCATGGAGGTAGGAGGAGAGCTGAGAGAGAGAGTAGTATCTCAGAAGCAATAGGAGGAGTGAATGTTCAAAAGGAGAGACCTGTAGACAGGTGATGCCAATTCTCTTAGTAAATACATCAGTGCTCACTGTGTGCAGATCATACATGGCCCTTGCCCTCACAGAGCTAATAGTATAGAAGAGAATTAAGATGTAATAACAATCAGCTATAATATACTCTGTTACATGTGTGCTCCTAGACAAGCCACTCATTTTTTCTAGGTCAAAGATTTTTCTAGATCATCTCGATCTAGTCGTTTTTCTAGGTCATCTATAAAGTGAGAGGGTGGGGCTGGATGATTTGTTAAAGTCTCTTCTAGCGTTGCCATTCTATTTTCTAATTTCCAACACTAAGAGCTATATTAAATGCATTGTAGAAGTCTCAGGGGCAAGGTTGGGGAATAAGAAAGTGGTCATCAAGGAGGTACATATTCTTTTCTTCCTTTCTCCAGTTCTGAGATCCATTCTAATCTCCCTGTCTCTAATCCTGGTTCCTTTTTGGTTTTCCTAGAAGTATGGAATACATACAATTGGTGGGAATTTTAGGTCGTTGGCTGACAGCCAAGAGGAAAGGAGTCTGTTGGATCCCAACCTCACCTCATATTCAGTGCCCACCCTACATTTGGTCCACAGCCTCTTTTATATGTTTCTGCTTTGTTAAATTTAACCTTTATCTGCCAGTTACCCCCAAACATTCTCTATCTGCAGGACATCAATGACAACATGCCTGTGTTTGTTCAAAATACTTATGAATTCTATGTAAAGGAAAGAGTGAAGGGTGAGTATTGCCCTCCTCCCCGTTCCAGAATGAAGGGCATGTAAGTATGTGTGTAGGAAAGGGATAGAGGGGGAGGGGTGGCACAGGCAGTATTGCATAGTAAAAAGAGCCTCTGGATTTAGAGTCCGCGCCTTGGATCCAGAAGTGATTTGCCCAGAGTCACACAGCCAGTATGGGTCAGAGGCAGGACAGGGTTTGAGTACCTCTTCTGCTATTTATTAACTGTGTGATCTTGAGGAAGTGATTCCCCCTTTCTGAGCTTAGGTTCTCTTATCTGTGAAATGAGGATGGTAACAACTGCATTACCTATTTCAGTAGGGAGTAGTAGGCAATTCACTTTGTAAGCCTTAAATGTCTCTAGATATGAGAGACATTCTTGTTGTTCATTTGTTTCAGTACTGTCTGACTCTTTGTCACCCCATTTGGGATTTTCTTGGCAAAGATACTGGAGTGGTTTGCCATTTCCTTCTCCAGCTCATTTGACAGATGAAGAAACTGAGGCAAACAGGGTTAAGTGACTTGCCCAGAGTCACACAGCTAGTAAATGTATGAGGCCAGATTTGAACTCAGAAAGATGAGTTCCTGATTCCAGGCTTGGTGTTCTATCCACTGAACCACCTGGCTGAGAGACATAATAATGTATATTAATATTATTATATAATATAATAATAGAGACACTGTAGCATAATGGCTAAAGAACCAGCCTAGAAGCCAGGAAGTCCTGTGTTCAAGTCCTGCTTCTGACACATTCTGGCTGAGTGACCCTGGGCAAATCACTTAACCTCTCTGCGTTCTAAGTAACTAAGTTGCAAAGAAGGTGTGGACCTGCATTGGTAGAAGAAGCTTCCTTTACTTGTAACATTGAAGTCACAGGGCCAGTCCCTATCTCTAGCAATATAATAAATAGGAAAACCAAGTCTCAGCTCTCTAAGTCCCTAGGAGTTCAGATATCTGCCATCTTGCCAAGATCCCCTTTCCAGCACGTGTGGGCTCATTACATACTTGAAGAGTTGAGTTGCCTTGAAATCCCCAAGATTGGGGTGGGGGGAGGGAATGGCTTAATTCTTGGGCCAGGGACCATCTCCCAGTGCCTTAGGTTTGGGTTCAGAAAGTGCCTCCCAGTGACTCCCAATGAAATCTATCCCAAAGGACCAGACTGTAAATCAGAGGATGTATCCAATGACCAGGCTGGCAGCTGAAGGTCTTTGGAGAGATAGAGGCTCAATTTCCTTCTTGGCCCTGGCAGGTGCATACTTGGGCTTTGTGGAGGCCTGGGATGCCGACCAGACAGATGTCAACAACCGCGTCACCTTCACTCTGACTGGGGATGGAACCAGCAACTTTGAGATCCGCTCCACATTCCAGGGCTCAGGCTGGAATCGTGGGAATGTGTCCCTGGTCCCAGATGTGAGTCTAGACTATGAGACGCCACCCAGCAACTTCACATTGCTTATACTGGCACAGAATGCAGTTGAATCGGAAGGGATAGCATCTGCCACAGTGCTGGTGATTACAGAGGATGTGAATGACGAGGCCCCGAGCATCCTAGCGTCCTCTTTGGAGGAGGTCAAAGTGTTTGAGCACCAAGGCAAAAAAGATGAGTTCGTGACTCGTGTGGTGGCCCAAGATCCTGACACAGATGCCTTACTGGAAATCCGTCTTCAGGACATAGGCTGCTTCAAGAGAGGGGTTAACATGGGTACTGTGTGCCAAGACTGGTTCAGGTTGGTCCCCAACGGTAGTGTCTATATCAACGACAGCTTGGCCATCGATTATGAAGTCTGTGACCTCGTCAGACTATTCGTCCAGGCCCTGGATCTGCATACAGCTGAGGGTTTCCCTGCCAACAGCCCTAACGGTGAGGGCTCTGCTCAGGCAGGGACAGGGAGAATGGTGAATGGGGGAAGCTAATGGTGAAGTAACGTTAGAGGGGAGAGAGGAGAGAATGATAGGGAGCTCTGGAGATACCAGTTTTAGCCTCTTTCTGTAGAACTGAGTCTCTGCGTTCTGCTTTTGCAGAGACTCTACCCATCGCCATCTTGGATGTGAATGACCATCCACCCCAGTTCCTGCCTTTGGATGAAACATTTGGTGAGGAATAATCACTTTCTCTCTGTGCTGGGGGTCTCTCTATATCTGGGTCCTCTTGCTGCTCCCTGGTGTGGTCTCAACCTGATTGGTCCAACACTGGGGAATTGTGATGAGGAGGCAAATTTGAGGACCTTCCTTCCCCCTTGGACCAATTTTGTAAGTCAGGATGACCTATGTTTAAGACCTACCTCTGACATACATGGGCTGTGTGACCCTGGAGAAGACACTTAACCTCTCAATTCTCTAGGTAACTCTCTAAATTGTAGAGAAGGCAGGGACCTGCATTAATAGGAGGTGTTTCCTTAACCTAGAGTTCCCCGTATTAATGAAATCACAAGTCCAGTCTCTCTCCATACCACATCACCCCCTTGCTCTCCTAATAGCATGCCCCTTACATCTTGTCTCCAAGACCTGGCATCTGCTGAGTCTATTCATCCTATCTCTTTCTTCTCTGTAGTGATCGTACCAGAAATTCTTTCTCCAAATCAGCAGGTGGCTTTTGTGAAGGTAAGAGGCCACTGCTTGGGACCTCTCGGTTCAGCCATTTGAGTCTCTAGGAAATAACATGATGGATGCATTAGAAAGAAATTTAGCTTGGAAGTCAAAAGACCTGGGTTCTAGCTCCCCTATTCCATTGATTCTCTATGTGATCTTAGACAAGTCATTTCCCTTGTAAAAAAAAAAAGATTGGACTTGAGAATCTTGAGGTTCTCTCTCAGTTCTGGGGGAACCATGAACCTGATTGTCTGGCCATCCCAACCCAGTGTTTCCAGGTCTCAGACTAGAAGGCCCCAGAGCAGGCTACCCTGTATTGCTCTTTCCCCCAGGCCACAGATGAGGATGATGGGGTCAATGCAGCCCTTTCCTTCTTCATTGACTTGGTGGAATTCATCTCCAAGGATGGCTCCAGAACCCCCTCTGAAGGCCTGTTCCGGATCAAGTCTTCATCTGAAGGCGACATATACACAGGCAGCATAGAGTAACCTGGGGAAGGGGGTCTCAGAGTTGGGGACTGAAGAGGGGCAAGTGGCCTTGTTGTGGGGAAGGGATAATCAGAGCTTTCCAACAGTGGAATGAAGGGCTGGTAATTGGTCTTTGGAGAGGTCTTCAGGTGGAGGCTGGGCAACCACTTTTAGGGGAATATTTTAGAGGGGATTCCCATATAGATATGGGTTGGCCTAGATTGCCCCTGTGTTCTCTTCCAAATCTGACATTCTTTGGTTCTGGATTGCTTTAATAGGTAGTGAGGTCCCTGCAAACATCCAAATAGAAGCTAGGCATTGAGGATGCCATAGAGGGTTTTCCTGCATTGGGTAGGACACTGGACTAGGCCACTTCTGAGGTCCCCTCTAGCTTTAAGAGACTATCATTCTAGGTGGGCAGAGGACAGGGGAGGAGGAAGGGATTAACAGTGAAAAGGGGGGATTTTCTGAGCATGGTGGAGGGGAGCCCTTGGCCCTAATCCTGATCTGGGACTTTCCCCAGGGTGGTAACTTCCCTTGACAGTTCCCTCCAGGGAACCTACCAGCTAACAATCAGGGCCCAAGATAACTCTAGTGAGAACACCCGTCTGACAGCAAATACCTCCCTGAATGTGAGTACGTGAATCCTCACTCTCCCTTGCCTTCCTTCCCTCTCAAGGCCTTTGGCCTGCTATCTCTTTGGCCTCACCCCAGGTACCATGCTTCTAAGTGGTCAGCCCCCACAAACCTTCAGTCCCATGGTCTTCTCTTTCCTGATCCCTGTTAGCTCTTCACTGTGGACCAGAGCCATCGCCTACGGCTTCAGTTCTCAACAGGAGCAGCAGAAGTGGGAAGCAATACTAATATAATCAGAGCGTATGGTCTGGGGCTTCAATCTCAGGGACGCTTGGGAGGAAAGGGCACCAGGGAGGGAAATGGGACCCTGCCTCTGTGTGTCCAACCCTGAACAGGCCCGAATATACCCATGTCTCAAAGCCAATCCCTGTTCCTGCCCTTCCCTTTACTTCTGTGCCTCCTTCTTTGCCCCATCTCTCTTCCTCATCCTGCCCACATTTCTGCTGATTCCTTGCCCCAGTTCTGCCCTTGTTTCAGTGTCCACCCCCAGTCTCGGCCCTGTTTGTGTCTCTGTGCCTGTCCCTGAGCTTGGTACTGCCAGGATCAGGAGGTGGCTCAGGCCATTCAGGGCCCGGTTAAGGTGGCTCCCAGGCTGTGAGCCGGGACCAGGGCTAGCCCTGGAGGGATGAAGGAGGCACAAGCTCCTTTTGTCTCTCCATTGGTCTCTGCTTGGCTTGTAGTGCCCTGACGGAAGCAACGAGGACCACGGTCCACATTGTGAGCATTAAGGACATTGAAGTCTCAATCTCCAGGTGGGTGCTTCAAGCACAGAACAGGGGGTGGTGCTTCATATGTGGGTAGGGTATGGAAAGGGCATACAAGGAAGGCAGTCACCTGGAGGTCATAGGTGATGGATAGAGATGGAAACAGGGTGGGGAGGGCCAGACAGTGAACCTCAACCTAAGACCGGGCTATTCAGTAGTGATGCCAACCACTGCTTCCCATCTTCTCAGGGCTTCCTCAAGGTCTCTGTCCATGGGGAAGTGTGGCCCTTCCCACCTTTCAGTAATTCTTTGGGAGGGCAGGATTCATTCCCTATGGGAATGCTTCCAAGCTGGCCATTGTGGCCTGGGCCAACCACTACAGATTCAGAAGCTTTCCCAAGAGCTTTCTTCTCTAGACATAGAAGATGAAGAGTCACAACATTTCAGAGCTAGAGGTAACCCAGAAGGGTACCTCATCCAACCTGGACTGGAGCAAAATTCCCCTCCACAGCATTCCAGAAAGTGACCAGCCACCCTCTGCTTGAAGATTTCCTGGGATGGAGAACTCACTTCCTCTGAAGGGGGATGGTTTTCATTGTCAGGAAGTTCTTCCTTGTATTGAGCCTAAAGGTCTCTCCCTGTAACTTCCAACATGTAAGACACTAGATTAAGAGTCAGAAGGTCTAGATGTAAATCATAGCTCTATTGCTTACTACCTGTGTGTGGCCTTGGCTAAATTATTTCATATCTCTGGGCCTCCATTTCTTTTCCAAAACGATGAGGGAATTGGACTAGAATTATGAGATCATAGATTTGAAGCTAGCCTTCAAGTTCCCTTCTAGCTCTAAATCCCATTAATAACTATAATACCAAGGTCTAACACTTATATAGCACTTACTATATGTCAGGCACTGTGCTAAGCACTTTATAATTATTATTACAATTATTGTCTCATTTGATCCTTATAACAATTCTGCAAGAGAGGTGCTATTATTATCCACATTTTACAATTGAGGTAACTGAGGCAGATGGAGGTTAGAGTGACTTGCTCAGGACCACACAGCTAGTAAGTTTCGGGGGCTACTTTTGACCTCAGGTCTTCCTGATTCCATGTCAGGTGATCTATCCACTGTGACACCTAGTAATCCCATGGTCTTTTATTTCAAAGTATCATGTTTGTTGTTTAGTTGTTTTTCAGTCGTATCTGACTCTTTGTGACCCCTTTTGGAGTTTTCTTGCCAAAGATACTGGAGTGGTTTGCCATTTCCTTCTCTAGTCTATTTAACAGAGGAGGAAACTGAGGCAGCTCTTTGAATAGCATTCAAACACAGTTTTTTGATTCCCCATTCTCCAGTGGAGCTGTGACCTCATCGATGTGGGCATTCCCTCCACCCATTCTATATCACCCACCCACTCCCAGGTTTCCTGTAGGTCTGCTTTTCTATAAGCTCAACATTTCTAGTCCTTTCTGCTAATCTGTGTATATGAGATGGTCTCTAGCTCCATCCCCATGCTGATGGCTGTCCTCTGCACACCTTTCAGCTTGTCAATGGCCTTCCTCAGAACTTTAGCTAGGATGCTCCAGAAGTAGCCTGACTAAGGTCAGAGAACAGCAAGGCTCTCACTTCCCACCTACTGGACAGGATCTCTTTATTAAAGTAGTGTAAAATACATCCATTCAGCAAATGTTAGTTGAACAAGCTACGGATTAAATGAGCTCCAGAAGCTTACAATCCACTAGATGGGACAGGTCATGTACAAAGATGAATATGACAGAAGGTGGGGTGGGATAGGGAAGAAAGGAAGACAGGAAACAAGCATTTAACATATTTAAACAAAGTGTTTAAGCACCTTCTCTGTGCTAGGCAGTGGGCTAAGCACTTTACAAATGCGATCTCATTTGATACTCACAATTCTCTTCCCAACCAGGTCTTTTTCATATGGGGGTAGGGTATGGGAAGGGCATACAAGGAAGGCAGTCACCTGGAGGTCATAGGTGATGGATAGAGATGGAAACAGGGTGGGGAGGGCCAGACAGTGAACCTCAACCCAAGACCGGGCTATTCAGTAGCAGTGCCAACCACTGCTTCCCATATTCTCAGGGCTTCCTCAAGGTCTCCCCTTCCAACCTTTCAGTAATTCTTTGGGAGGGCAGGATTCATTCCCTATAATTTGGGTTCTAGCTTGCTTCCAAGCTGGCCATTGTGGCCTGGGCCAACCACTGCAGATTCGGAAGCTTTCCCAAGAGCCGAGGGAAGCACTGTTATTATCCTGATTTTGCATATGAAGAAAATGGGACAGACAGAGGTTAAGTGACTTGCCCAGGGTCACACAGCTAGTGTCTGAGGTCTGATTTGACCCAGCTTTATCCTGACTTCAGACCCAATGTGCTATCCACTGTACCATATAGCTGCCTCTAGGGGGCAAAGGAGAGATCCAGGAAGAGTTCTTTAGGGAAACTTGAGAAAAAAGGAAGATTTCTTGGCTACCACTTCACACTGGTGACTCGCCTTGAGCTTGGAATCCATTAAAACCTTGAATTCCTTTTCCCATGAACCAAAGGCTAGCCAAGGTGCTCCTCTCATCCAGCTGCTCTTCATTTCCTAAAGGCCATGGGTGTTATAGGACCCTGCTTGAAGAGTCCCCCAGAGAGAGAATTTACCTTCCTGAGCTCAGTTCATCCACCTGACGGAGAGGTCCTGGATCTCACATGCTACCTCCTGGATCCTCTCTGATTCCAATACCTGTCTTAGGCACTTAATCAGCTGCTCTGTTCCCTGAAGACCTTCAAGAGTCTTTAGATGCCTCGCTAGGGTCCTAATCTAACCTGGTGCCAAGACTCAGTTCCTTAAAGGTCTTACTACTAATATTGTTAAACAGTCTCTGCCCTCAGGATGCTCTTGGTTCAGTAGTAAAGATAAAGCGTAGGCATAAATAACTAGCATAAGGCAGAACAGGGAGGCGTGACTTGGTAACTGTCTATGTGAAAAAGACCTGGTTGGGAAGAGAGTCTTACTGAACTTCAAGTTCCATGAGTCCACAGTGTAATGAGATATTCAAAAGGAGAAAAAAAAGAAGAATTTGATCTTAGGATAGATTAATAGAGGTGTCCTGTCCAGAATGAGAGAGCCTGTAATGCTGACGTTCTCTGCCTTGGCCAGAATACATCTGCATTACCTTCGGTTCTGGACTTTTCATTTTAAGAAGGACATGGACAAATTGGAGCATGTACAATCAGAATGGTGAGAGGAATAGAGACCAGGCAAGCATTGGTTGAAGGAAGTGGGGAGGTTAAACTTGGAGAAGACTGGGATGGGAGTTGGGGTGTGACAGCTGTGAACAGCTACGATGAGGGAAAAAGATTCAATTAGTCCTGTTTGGCTTCTCAGGCCAAAGCAAAGAACAGCAGGTAAAAGAGAGTAGTTTAAAGCTAGAGAGAAGGAAGAACTTCCTCACAAAGAAGATAGGAATGGGCAAACTTGGAAGGTAATGAGCTTTCTTTCACTGGAATTTTTCTAGAAGAGCCCTATGACCTCTGAGGTTCTTCCCCACCCTTAGATTTTAGAACCCTCTGACACCCTCCCCATATTTTAACCTCCTTCTGTCTATGATTCTCTCAGAGCTAAGGGCTTGTCTTATATGGATGCCTACTTTGTGTACAGCAATGGAACAGCCTTGAACCTCAATGAACTCAACTTGTGAGTTGCATGGGTGACTGAGGGCTGTGGGTGATGGTGTATTTGTGGAGGGGAGAGGCAATAGGCTTCTAGGATGAGATCCAGCTTCCTGCCTTAGGGACAAGCAGAGTCTCCAGTTCCTTGAGCAAAAGCCTAAGCAATCTTCTCCTGCCTAGATTCATCCGAGGTGACCAGGATGCATTAGAGATACTGCTACGACTTGGGCTGGTGGTGATTGTGAGTACCTTTAGTCAGAGAGAGAGGAGGGAGAGGTTGGAAGATGGGAGCTGGAGGGAGAGCAAGGGGGTAGGAGATGGGAAATGGGGAGTAGAGGAGGGTTGTCAGGGATTGAGGCTGGTGGGAGAGAGTGGACAGGATGAGTGCTGGAGGGAGATGGGGAATGGGGGATGGGGGATGGGGCTAACAAAGTCTTTCTGACCTTCCAGGGCTCTGGGGAGGAGGTAAAGCAGGACAAGGAGACAGAGCTGCTCGGCATCATTGCTGGCCTGGGGTGTGCCTTGACAGTTCTTATTATCATCATGACCATATCATTGGTGTGCACCAGGAAGAGGTACCCTGGGGCCAGCAGCCTTGGGAGCCCTAGGTTGTCCCTGTTTCCTAGCTCTGCAAACCACACCTCCAACTGTGACCCAACTCCCTTCTCTCCTGCTCCTCAGCTACAAAAGGAAACTTAGAGCTGTGAAGGCTGCTAAAGAGGCCAAGAAGACAAGCCATGGATTCAACCTGCAGGGCCCTGTAATCCCTGGGACAAACCTGTTTAATTCAGAGAAGTGAGCAGCATCCTTGGACTGACTGGGTGATGGTGGTGATAGAATTGAGAGTAGGGGGAAGATTGCTTAAAGTGTTCCCTCTCCTAGCCCTGGGAAAGTGACTAGAGGAAGTGTTAATAAGATTGGTGACTAGGTGGCTCAGTGGAAAGAATGCTGGACTTGGAATCTGGAAGACCCAAGTTCTGAGGCACTTACTGTGAGGCTCTGGGCAGTCTCAGTTTCCTTATCTAGAAAATGGGGATAATGATAGCATCTCTCTCTCTTTCTCTCTCTCTCTCTCTCTCTCTCTCTCTCTCTCTCTCTCTCTCTCATAGTGAGGAGCAAAGGAGATGTCATGTAAAGGAGATGGCTTTTTAAAACCTTATCTGGGTGTATAAATGCTAGTTATTATTATTGTTATTATTATGAGCATTGAGAATAGGCAAAGAGAAACTTCAGTTCTGGGAATCAATATCCTGAGGCATAATAATAACAGACATTTGTATAGCATTTCCATGTTCACAAAATGCTTTACAAACATTGTCTCAATTCTCACTACAACCCTGGGAGGTGGGTGCTATTATTATCCTTACTTTATAGATGAAGACACTGAAGGTCAGAGAAGTCAAATGACTTGCCCACAGTCACACAGCTAGGAATAGTCAGAGGCAGCAGGATTCCAATCCATCGCTTCCTTGCTCCAAGTCCAGCATGTTATCCATAGGGCAACAAGGTGGAAAGATCCCCTTTCTTTGAATTAGGGACCCTGAGTCTTAGTCCTGGGTCCAAATGGAATCATAAAATTATGGAGTTTAGAGCTAGAAGAGACATTAATGCCATCTAGTCCAACCTGGATTTGAAACTGGACCCTCTGATTCCAGAGCCAAGTGTTCTTTTCACTGTTCCATGCTGTGGCAATGGAGAAATGTATTAGATAGTTTCCTTCCAGCTCTAATACTCAGTGGTTCTATGACCATTGTGATGTGAGGAATTCACTCACAAGGTAGTAAGTTGCCTGTTACTGGAGCTACTTAAGCAGAAAGGCTAGGTGGCTATCTGTCAAGGAGATTCTTGCACTAGGGGGAGACTGTAGTAAGATCATAGCTTTAACACTGGAAAGGACCTTAGGGTCCTTCTAAGCTCTCAGATTCTCTGATTTCCTCCAGAGCCAACCCCATGCTCAATCTCTCTTCGATGGATCTGGGCTTTGAATCTCTTTCCTCCCATAATGAAGATGATGTTGCCAGGTAAGCAGCCCCTCCTCTTGTCTTTCTTGCCTGAACAGATCATTTCATGCCTGACCTGATCCTCCTGAGGGACTCCTGAGCGTCTATACAGAGCTAATCTGGCCCTATAAAGGGCTGGGCTTAAGGAGATATATCAGCCCTGGGGGATCCCTGGGCTCCTGTTTATCAGGGAGAGTCCTTTCACCCCAAGATAAGGGTCTTTCTCTGCCTCCCTTTGAGCTCAGCCTTCTCTTCCAGCATCAACTCCCTGGATGAGAACAAGGTGGATACAGATATGGACATGATGATCGACATTGACCTGGGGAAGAAGCACAAGGTGAGAAAGGGAGGGAGGTGAGAACATTCCTAGTTGTTGGGATTCCATGTAGCCCTGGCCCCCTAGGAGCTCAGGGAAGAAAGTCACAAAGAGTTTCTTCACTTGAGACTGGCTCAGTGACTAATTTTTCAGGGGTCCAGCAGACACTTTTAGAGCCAGTCATTAAAACTATCCAATCAAAACCTTCTTCACCATCATCACCCTCAATTATTACCGTCACTATCGTTATTCAATTCAATTCAACAAGGATTTATTAAATGTATACTATGAGAAAGACTCTGTGCTTATCCCTTGGGGAAACAAAAAAGGAGGAATAACTCACAGTTCTTTCTATGGGAGAACTTGTGATCCAGTAAAGGGCTGAGCTCCCCCCTCCACAAAAAACAGCAATACAAGATAGTGTCTCGGTTTTCTCATCTGTCAAGTGAAAGTTGGACTAAATGGACTCTGAGGTCCCTTCCAACTCTGACATGCTGGTTTATATGTTACAATATAATTGTCCCTGAAACTGATACCCTATGTTCTATGGAAAGACTCTTCCAGCTGTGACAATCTATTCTAAGGTTCTCCTACCTTGATCATTTACATTCTAAGGACTCTTCAAGTTCTTGACATTCGTAAGCCTGTTACAAGTCCAGCTTCATACTCCTCCATGATAACATTGTAATTCCTTTTGTGCTCTCAGCTACGTTGTACTTGTCTTTTTTTTTTTTAGGAAATTGGGGTTAAGTGACTTGCCCAGAGTCACACAGCTAGTAAGTGTTATGTGTCTGAGTCCGAATTTGAACTCAGGTCCTCCTGAGTCCAGGGCCAGTGCTCTATCCACTGTGCCAAAGTAGCTGCCCCTATACTGTACTTGTCAACAAAGAGATTAGCATGTAGTTAGCCCATCCTTTACACCTCTGTTTTCCTACCTATTTGGCCCAGAGGCAGACAAAACCTTTTTCTACCATCATCCTTAATAACTCACATTTTTGTAAAACTTTAGTATTTGTAAAGAACATGTTCCACAGAATTCCTAAGAGGTATAGTTAGAATAAACTAAAAATCAATATATCTACTCTCATTTTAGAAATAGGGAAATGGATTGGAACCCAGATCTTTTAATTCCGAGTCCTTTAGAGGAGCTGAGATAAGAGTGCTATTTTTAAAAGAAAACTTTGACTAAGAAACAAAGGAAGGGAAAAAAACAATTTCAAAGGTATTTCTACAGCTCAAGTTTCTGCTCCTGGGTGGGCTTGACCTGGGAAATGGGCTTCTCAGCTTAAATTCTCAGGCTTAATATCCTGGACTTAAAATCAAAGGGCCTGAGGTGAAATTCTGACTGCTACTTAGCCTAGCTGCATGGCTTGTACCAAATCACCAGTCTTCTCTAGGCCTCAGTTTCCTGATCTATAAAATAAAAGAGGAGCTTTCTTAAGGTCTCTTCCTGCTCTAAATTTTATGATCCCCATGGAAGCTCTAGCCCCAGACCAGGGCTCCACCAGATTCCCCAGCATCTCCCTATGGACCTTATTCCTCAGGCCCAGAGCTCCTTCTCCAGGGAACTGGACTGGGGTGGGTTAGGGAGGGGACCCCTTAGGATCTCTGTGGCATTGGAGGTAGAGAATTCTTTGAGCAAATCTCTTGCCTGCTGTGGGCCTCAGTTTAGTCCTCTGTTGAATAATGGTTTTGGGTTCAGTGGTCTCTAAAGTTCCTTCTAGCTCTGACAATCTATGTTTAGGATGGGGAGGGTTGCAGCTGGGGAGAAGCCAAGGGAATTCTGTGCAAGGTTTTAGCCTTTGGGTTCCTCCTGGGGCCTTCAAATGTTCCACTGTTTATTAGGGAATGGAAAAGTCTCAGTCAGGAAAGAGTCCAGCAGTAGTCTGGGGAGAAAGAGAGGGAGAAGGGATGAGCGAGTAAGGAGGATGAAGGAGAGAAGAGGAGAGAGGGAGGGAAGGAGAAAAAGAGAGAGAATGGGGAGAGAGAGAGAGAGAAAATAGAAAGAGGTCATGCTATGTCTGTGCATATGTGAGAGCATGTTTGCATGCCATGGTGTGTTACATGCGTAGCAATTGTGTGTGATAATGTGGGTATATGTGGTGATGCCTGTGGGATGAGTATGATATCTGGTAGATGTGTGATGGTTTTTGTGTGGCTGGAAGAAGAGAGACAGAGAGAGAGAGAGCGAGCACTTCTACAAAAAGTGTCACTCCTGGAAGGCCAGGGGCCCTGAGACATTGAAAAGTTCCAGAAGAGGGACTGAACCACTCTGATGTTTCCTCCAAGCAGGGTGGCAATACCTCAGGTCACCCCAACCACCTCAAGGGTAGTCCTGATATTTTCAGATGAGAAAACCATGGACACATACAGGCTTCATTTTAAGAATATTTTTATTTTCAAAACAGAGAATTGACCAAACATAAAATTTTGCTTTTCAGAAGATCTCACTATAGTCTTCTTTTAAGTATCAAGCTTCACTTGTACATTTAAAATGGGATTTGAGTTACAAACACTTGATTCACATAAGTAAATACTGTATTTTTTGCTCAGAGCAAGGTGTGCCTGCACATGTTCTTCCCCATCCCTTCCTGCCTTTACTCTATGCTTACAATGCCCCATTTGGGTCTGCTGAAATCTTCTTCTTACCTCCAAGGCTCAGTTTAAATGCTTCTTCCTTCAGGAAGCCTTCTTTGATAGCCCTGACCATCTCTGACCTTATGTTTACACTTCTTTATATATTTATTCCTTCCTACCCTGTAACATAGCTACTTGCATTCCATGACATATCCCCTCTACTAGATCGTGAGCTCTCTAAGGTCAAGCATCACTCTCTTCTTTGTTATCTTCATTATTCATTATTTTTCATCCTCCTCACCCCATCTTCTCTTGGCTCCTACTTAGCATAGAGTACAGGGTTGTGCATAATATGATTCAAGAATCATTTGCTGATTGAGTTCCTGACTGAACATCCTGGGTTAGGAGTGATGGGGATAGGAGTGATGGGAGAAGGGCATTCAGACCAGAAATGATGGTGAGAATGGTGGGCCATTCTCACAAGCCTTGGTCCTTGGGGGTGGGCCAGGGTGTGGCAATTCACTAGGACTCATTTCTTGGTTTCCAGGGGGCCCCCTATCTCTTTCCATGTGCACCATTCCCAGCCATCACTGGAATCCTCAGATCTGTCCTTCCTGATCCTAAGGCACTGCCTAAGCAAGGGACTAGGTTTTGTGGGTGTGAATGTCCTCCTTTACCCCCACCGCCCAATTCTGCTACTGCCATGGAGATTTTAGCTTATCCCCTCATTGGGCAGGTCAGGGGAGTGGGAACCTTTCCTCACCCTTCACTGGCAATTGGCCTCTGTCTCCCTAGGAGAAACCAGAGTTGACAGCTGCTGAGCTGCTGACCATGGTGCTGAAGGAAGGAAAAGGCAAAAATCAAGAAAGGGACAAGATGGTGCTGAAATTGGGCGAATTCAACATGGCTCTGGATACCACTGACCTCTGATCCTACCTACACCACATGCCACCCTCCCACCCCACTCCTGAGGTCGCCCCCTCTCTCATTCCTCCTCCTCTCAGAACATATATCATGAGCCCTGACCTGTTGATGACCTGTGTGACACATCTGCTTTTGGGATGAGACTCAGTGCTTCACTGCTATGTCTTTCATTCATCTCACCTGCATGTGCTTCAGGCCTGGTGGCTGGCTTCAGCCTGTGTCTATAATAAATTAATTCTCTTGTATGCATAGTATAGTTTCTTTTCCTTCCTCTTCTCCTCAACCCCCACCCCCAATTCAATCAATCAGGCCTTAGGTTTGGGGAAATGTTTTATTACCAATGCACAGGTTGACAAATTGTACCCCAAAACAATGGGCAGGGGGAACTGGGGTAGGACAGTTGTCAGGCATTGGAATGAGGAGTTATGGTTTGGTCACTACAGATGGTAAGGCGAGCTCACACCAGATCCAGGAGACAGGAGATGACAAGTCAGGGGGTGGGGAGGAAAGAGAGAAGCTAGGTGAACCTAGGGCGGGAGTGTTTTTATTGAGGGGGTGTGAGATGCCTTTGAAGGGATAGCTGCCTTTGCTCAGGACTTAGGGGTTTTATCTGTAATATCCCCTAGCCTGTCAAGGTGTGAATCCTGACCTGTTTATTCCCTGACTAATTTGTTATCTTACTTTGACCCCTGACCAGCCTCATTCCCTGATCCATGAATCTTTTCCTGTCTGTAAACCCCAACCTGCTGGTAGCTCTAGACTGTCTAAAAGCTCATAATTCATCTATGACCCTTTATAATCTTGTAACATATTTACCATACTCCTCTCACTGTCTGTGACCTCTGGCTTGTGACTCCTTATCCAATTTATAACCCCTGGCACCTGTCTGCAAACTCCTGACTATCTAGGAGCCCCGACATGGTCTGTGAGCCTCCTCCTCAATTGCCTTGGACACAGCAACCAGGAGGTAATCAGGCTGTCTTAATAGCAGCTCACTTTAGATGTCCTAGGCATTTAGAAATAAATTTTAATTGGGGAAATCAGGCGAAGGCTTGGGGAATTTCCCTGCCTCTCTAACCAGGAGAAAATGGAGGCCAGAAGAAACATCTGACGTCCCCCAGCCCAACCTTTGTAGCATAGACTAAGGAGAGGTAAGGGGTCATTTTAAGCCCTGCAGGGGTCCTGCCATCAGCTTCTACATCCCATTCTCTGAATAATCCAGACAAGTCCAGGCTGCTGAGGGATTCAGAAATGGGGACACATGGGCCATTTGATAAATACTGGTAGCTTTGAGGCAGTGTACTTGGGGCTTGCACACTCGGAGCCTCACACACTTGAGAACTTACATACTCACTTGAGGTCTTCCTTCATGGCTCCACATGCAAACAGACTTTGCTACCAAATTGTCCATATTTCTCATGCATTGCCCTATCTAGGGCCATGTGGGAGAGGCAGTGCGGTACTGGGCTTGGGATCAGGAGAGATCTAAATTCAAATCCTGCCTCAGACACTTCCTAGCAATGAGACTGAGAGCAAGGTACATAGCTCTCTGAGCTTGTTCCCTCAGTGTAAAATGGAGATGATAATACCTGTGGTCCTTCCTACGCCATGGGGCCATTGTGAGGGCCAAGGGAGATAACAGATGTACAATACTTTGCCAACTTCAGAGCACAAGAGAACAAATGTCAGCTATTATCAGGGTTTTGTGGTCCTGGGGTAGCAACCTCTCCTCTCATCACAACCCTCTCTTCTCCCCTCCCTACCTCAGGGGCTCAGTCAAGGAGGTTTGGGGAGGGAGCAACCCAGGGATCCAAAGGACTGACTGGATCCAAGGCCACCTCCAAGGCCTGGGGTTGGGGTGAGATGGGGAGGGCTCTCTGGGCCTTGGGATCAGAGACACACCAGGTACAGGTGCTGGGGCTTGTGCCTTCAAAAGGGCAGTGGGGCCCAGGCTGGGGTGTGGGGTTGAGCAGGTTCCCAGTGGCCCTGGGCTATGTTGAGTTCCTTGATGAACCCATTCCTGCAGGACTGAGGGAGGCAAAAGGGAGAAACCCAGGCATATTGGGCAGGGATGACTTTAGACTGGCCAGAGGACCTAGTGTGGGTGCTTTGGGATCATTCTGCCTCTGACCCCCAGTGTAGTTGTGTGAAAGTGAGCGATTCACTCTTCAGAGGCTTCAGCAGAGGTGAGAATTAGGGAGGAGGATGTGGGAGGTGAGGTGTTGCCTGAGAAACCACAAGACACTGGTGTAGATTTATAAAAAAGGAGAGGGGAGGACCTAGGACCAGGGTAGGGTGAAGAGTGGCTCACTCAGCTGTAGGGCCGGCCCGGGAGCAGCACCGGGGCCTCCGCATACTCTGCAACAGGGCCCTGAACAAGCTGGGGGGGGCGTTTGGCTTCCCCAGGCCGGGGGCCACCTCTGAGAGAGCCAGCCCGAGTGCTAGGTAGCTGTGACCCAGATGGTCCCCCTTGCCGCCCATGCTCCTCGATCTGCTTTTCCAGGTGCTTCTGGATGGCCATGCCTAGCACCTCTACCTCCATGGAGGCCCCGTACACCTCCCATGTCATGCCCTTCTCATCCCAGCTGACCTCCCGCACAGGCTCAGGCGCTTCCTCAGCTGCTCGCACCTGTACTTCTGGATATGAGGAGTGGGGTGATGTGGTCACTGGGGTCATGGGGCCAGTGGCTACTGATCGGGTCTCCACACTCATAGACACCTGCATCTCTACATCCTTCTTGGATAGCAGTAGGCCAGGACTCCGGGAAGCTGGAGCATTCTGAGCACTGGGTTGGAAGCTGAAGGTTGTGGGGCCTGAACCATCCTGGGGAGTCATGGGGCTCACTGCCACAGACACGCAGACAGCACGTGTATCTGCCTGGGTGCCAGCATCCTGTTGTGGAGTGCTCACATCCCAGGATGGCACCTTAGTGAAATTATCCCTAGTCCTGACTTCCCTGACTGGAGTTGGACCCACTCCTTTCTGTGGAGCTCCAGGAAGCTCCTGGATCCTCTCTGGGGTCAGTGGGATTTCCTCTGCTCCAGCCTTGGCAGGGTCAGCTGGGTTCATTTTCTGTAGGGCTGATTGTGGAGAGCACCCTGATGACCATCCTTGGCTTGGGGATGCAGATGCTGTTTTTTGAGATTCCTCTGTGATGGCTTGGGTCTCAGGAACCTTCACTGAAGGGGTTTCAGGTCCAGTGGCGAGGAGAGTTGCTGCTGCCTTGTGGCTGAAGTCAGGCTGGGTGTCCTGGGGTGCTCCATAAATAGCCATTTCTTTGTTCAATCTCTGGGAGTCAGAGAAAGGCATTGTTTCTGATTTAGGGCAGGCTGAGCTCTGACTCGAGGTTTCTGGGAGAAGTTCTTTTGAGGCTGGAGACTTCTTAAAGGACACAGGGTCTGCTTTTCCCAAAGACATAGCATCCAGTTCCTCCATGGACATAGGATTTACCTTCTCCAAAGGCTTGGGATCCACCTTATTCAAGGGCAGGGGATCCAATTGCTCTGAAGACACAGAGTCTCCCTTCTTCGAGGATGTGAGTTCTGCCTTCTCCAAGGGTACAGGATCAACCTTTTCCATGTGTCTAGAATCTGTTTTCTCTGGAGACATTGGATCTACCTTCCCCAAGGACATAGGATCTACTTTGTCTGAGGGAACATGATCCACCTTCCCTGAGGAGACATAATCTGTCTTCCCCAAAGACATAGGCTTCACCTTGTCCAAGGAAACATGATCCACCTTCCCCAAGGGGACAGAATCTGCATTCCCTAAAGACATGAGATCTTCCTTCTTCAGGGACATGGGATCTGTCTTCCCCAAAGGGATGGGATCTGTCTTTCCTGACAGCATAGGCTCTATCTTTCCCGAGGGAATAGCTTTTGCTTTCTCTGAGGAAATAGGATCCGCATTTCTGAAGGGCACAGAATCCACTTTCTCTGGAGAAATGGAAGTTGCCTTTCCCAAGGATGCTAGATTGACTTTTCCTAAGGATGTGAGATCTACCTCCACAGAGCACATGAGATCTGCCTTCCCTAAAGGCACAGGATCCACTTTCCCCAGAGATGTGGAATCTACCTTCCCTAAGGACACAGGATGTACTTTCCCTGCACACATGAGATCTGCCTTTCCTGAGGCAATGACATCTTCCTTCAGCAAGGTCCCAGGGTCCATTTTTCCCTGGGACATGGAATTCGCCTTCCCTGAGGCCACAGAATCTACTTTTCCTGAAGACAAAGAATCTGTCTTTCCTGAAGCAATGACAACTTCCTTCCCCAAGGACAGAGAATCCACTTTCCCTAAGAACACAGGATCTGTCTTCCCAGAAGGTATAGAGTTTGCCTTCTCTGAGAATGAAGGATCTGCTTTCCCTAAGGAAATGCGATCCATCTTTCCCATAGACAGAGGATTTGCTTTCCCCTGGGTCAAGGGATTTGTTTTCCCTGAGGATGCAGGATCTACATTCTTCAGCGACACAGGACCATCCTTCTTCAGTGATGCAGGGTCTGATCTTCCTGAGGACAAGGGATCCTTCATCCCCATGGAGGTGGAATCATTTTTTTCTGAGGACATGGGATCCATGCTCTCCAAAGTGACAGAATTTATTTTCCCCAAGGGTGTAGGATCCTTTTTCTCACAGGACACAGGATCTGGCTTCCCTGAGGTTGAAGCTGGCAGCAGGCCTGAAGTTTCTATTATAGCTTCTTCTTGGGGTGGCTCTTCTGGTAGCCCCAAAGTGGTCTCTTTCTCTGACTCCTCTTTTCCCCTGGTGGCCCAAGTTGGAGAGGGGCTGGAGCACTTGGAATCAGAGGAGCAAACCAGGGAGATCCCACTAGGACCCAGTTCTTTTGGACTCAGTGGTAATTGTTTCTCTGATCCAGATGCCAATTCTGCAGGCCCACAGGAGTGGGTAGGTCCCAGACTCACCTCTGAGGCCTCCTTCTTGGGATGAACTTGGGGCTCGGAGCTGGCTGCTTCACTAGGGAGGCCCAGCTCACTCACACAGCAGTTCCTCATAGCGAGGTCTGCTGTTTGGCAGCTCCTAACCTGATCACACAGAGAGGCAGACTGAGCTACTTGTGGCAAGTGGGGCCCAGGTTCTTGATGTAACAGCTGCAGGCTGGCTGTCTCTTTAGTGCTGCCCATCTTCCCACAAGCCCTTGGCCATAGTCTATCCAACGGCTGTCCAATGGTTCTGAAACAGAGGGCAAAGGAGGCTATTCAGACTTAGAACCCTGAGTTGTGAAAGAATCATCCAAATCCTACCTCTTCCTTCAAGGCCCACCTCTTCCTTGAAGGCTTTCCATCTTCCAGCCCACACAGATTTATTCCTTTTCTGACCTCCCACCTAGCTCAACCCCATACCATTTAATTTGTCCCTTGATTATTAAGTAATGGTGGGGCAGCTAGGTGGCACAGTGGATAGAGTACTGGGCTTAGAATCAGGAAAACTCATCCTTATGAGTTCAAATCTGGCCTCAGACACTTACTAGCTGTGTGACCCTGGCCAAGTCACCTGCCTCATTTTCTTCATCTGTAAAATGAGCTGGAGAAGAAAATGGAAAACCATTTTAGTATCTTTGCCAAGAAAATCTCAAGCAGGATTTAAGACAAACCCACAAAGAGCTGGACATGACTGAAATGACTAAGAAACAAATAAAATAATGGCAGCTAGGTGGAACACTGGGTGGAGTGGCTGGACCTGGAGTCAGGGAGACCTAAGTTCAAAACCAGCCTCAGACATTTACTAGCTGTGTGACCTTGGGCAAGTCACTTTATGTCTGTTTGTCTCAGTTTCCTCAGCTGTAAAATGGCCACAATGGCAGTATCTTTTTTTCCTGGGTTGCTGTGAGGATCAAATAAGATATATATATATATATAATATTATTAAATACTATTTATAAAGTACTTAACAGTCATACATACAAGCAGTAGATTCGGACTACTAACTTCAGTCTGGCCAGCTATATTACCTATAATAACAGGTCACATTTCTATAGTACTTTAAAGGCATTATCTCATTGGACCCTCACATAAAATGTGTGAGGGAGGTAGTGTAAAAGTATGATTGCTCCCATGTTATAGATCATAGAATCATAGGATTTTGAACTAGAAAGAATCTAAGAGATCACATAGTCCAGGGGTTCTTAACTTGGGGTCCATGAACTTAAATAAATATTTTGATAACTATATTTCATATAATTGGTTTCCTGTTTAACCCTAATTATTATATATGTGTGTGTGTGTGTGTGTGTGTGTGTGTGTGTGTGTGTGTGTGTGTGTATATATATATATATTTAAAGACATTAATCTCTGACCTGGTTCAACCTTCTCAATGAACAAATGCAGAAAGCAAGGTTCAGAGAGGGGGGAAAGATCTTGTCTAAGGTCACACAGGTGGTCAATTGTGGGCAAATCAGGTCTTATCACCCTAAATTCAGTGTTCTTTCCCTTAGCATATATGTGTGTGTGTGTGTGTGTGTGTGTGTGTGTGTAGGGAGTTGTAATAGATATATATGTGTAACACATCCATTTTGCTGCCTCTTTGTATCCTATATTGATACATACCTGAGTTCAAATTCAGTCCCAGATACTTCCTAGCTGTGTGATCCTGGCCAAATTACCTAGCTGCTATCTGCCTCAGTTTCCTCATCTGTAACATTGGGATAATAATAGCACCTACTTGCTAGGGTTGTTATAAAGACCAAATGAGATACTATTTATAAAGTGCTTTGTGTACCTTAAAGCATTATATGAATGCTAGCTATTATTATTATTATGTTTATCTATCATCATCCAATTCATTTAATAGAGGAAGAAATGTGATATAGTGGAATGAACACTGGCTTTAGGGGACCTGGGTTTGAATCTTAGCTCTGTCACTATGTAATACTGAGTAAATCACTTAACCCCTTTGGGTCTCAGCTTTCTCATCTGTAAAATGAAAAGTTTGGAATAGCTGGAGCCCTAATAAACAATTCTAGTACCTTGGGGGAAAGAAGTGAGAAAGTTACCTTCATATAAACTTTTAAGTCAAATTAAGTTCCAGGGGGGACGGAAAGACAGAGACCTCATACCTCAGGGCAGTAGGCGCTATGGGAACAGGGGTGGGAATAGACAATGGCTGAGGTGAGAAGGCCAGAGAAGGATGCCGAATGAGAGTCTGGGAAAGCAAGCACTATCTATCAGCTTCCTATTTTAGCTATTATTTTTAACCAAGTTCTAAGCTCAGTTATTCTCCCTTTTGAAGAAGGAAGGTTTGTCAGCAGTCTAAATTTTGGTTCCCTGGCACAAAGCCCTTACTCAAAGTTATACTTAATTGTCTTGGGAACAGATGATCCCAAAGGTCCTTTCCTAAAACCTAAAATCCTAAACATTTACTGAAGCCAGCATATAGACAGGAAATATCAGATTGAGCACAAGAGAGGATACAAAGATGTAAGGGATGAGGTATCCCATGCACGAGCCAAGCATGACCCTCTCTTGCTCAGATATTTTGAGTCAAAGTACTGAGTTTCAGGGAGATTAGTCTGGCCTCTGTAGCCGGTCTGTGAGCTCTGATGCAGTTAATGAAGCAGTAAGTGATCACACCCTCTGCTAAAGGATTCCTTGTGTTGTATCACTGCAGGTCTGATCATCTTGCTCTGCTGTTCAATAAACTCCAATGGCTCCCTGTTGCTTCTAGGATCAAACATAAACTCTGTTTGGTTTTTAAAGACCTTCACAACTTGGCTCCAACCCACCTTTCCAACTTCATTAAACATTCTCCCTCTTCCAACATTCTAAGGTCCAGATAAACTGTCTGCCTTCTCATTCCTCCAAGATGACACTCCATCTCTTATCTTTGCACTGGCCAGTCGCCACAGCAATGCTTTCCCTCCTTCACCTTCAGCTCTTAGAATCCTTTATTTTCTTCAAAACTCTCAAGTTCCTTCCCACCCATTCACATGAAGCCTCTCCTGCTGCCCCCAGCTGCTACTGCCCTTTAACTTATGTATTCTTTATACATGTTTATTAATGTACATGTTGCCTTTACAATAGAATATAAAGTCCTTGAAAACAGGACTGTTCCTAACACAGTGCCTGGCACAGAGTAGGCACTTAATAAATGCTTGTTGACTAAGTGATCAACTAGTCATCTTGGCACAATCAAGTTTCCTAAAGGCTCTGATAGCAGAGTTCAGACTCTGGCAAATCTTACTGAGATGGAAAGACAAAGGGTCTGGGGTAAGATCTGTGTATCTGTAGTCTGAGGCTCAGCTAAGTGTAGAAAAGCTCATCTCCAGAGGGTTGGCCCCAGGGACTTACCAAGAACTGTCTGCTAAGGCAAGGAGGTGTTGATATCTGCTTCTGGATGAGGAGGACCAACACCAGTGGAGGACCAACAGGTCATTCACCGTACTGAGGTAGTAATCATTGGGAGACTATGTAGACCCATCACTAAAGTCCAAGGATGGGAAACATCCGGGTGTCAGATGTTGCAAAGCTTTTCCTGAATAAACAATAGCTAACATTTATGTAGCACTTTCTGTGTACTACATCTCCTATAAACAGACAAATGGGTCAAAGGGAGCCAGAAGTTAGAAGAAGCTAATATTGAACTAGGACAATGATTTTCTATACTGGAATGGGAGTTTTGAGGAAAAGAGACCCAACTAGGGCTCTACCGAGGCCTCTACTGAACTAGGCTAGCATCCATACCACATGGTGCCAACTGTCTGGTGACGGTGGAGGAAGAGGACACTCTGATAGATAAGGACCTGTAAAACGAAGTCTTGCAAGAGTACTTTTTATGCACAAAGAAACCTTATTTCTTTTAATTTTATTTATTAATTTATTCTTGACCTAGTAACTATTTGTCTCCATGTCTCTAGTCTTTCTCTTCTTCAATCTGGTCCTCTACTAGTGCCAATGGATATTCCTAAAACATAAATTCCCATCCTCAAAAACTTCAACATTTTCTACTGCAGCTGTCAAATTCTAATCCCAGCCTTTTACAGCCCCTTGTCCCCCAGTGTGACTCTCACCCACTTGTCCCATTTTATTTCATATTATTGCCTTTCACACATTTTCCATTCTAATCAAACTAGCCTGCTAGCTGTTCCCTGTACATGATATACAATCTCTCTCCTCTGTACGTTTGAACATATGATCCTCCATATCTGCACTCTTTCACCTCTACCTGATGGAATCCCTAATTTTCTACAAAGCCCAGCTCAGTCACCTTCTCTCTCCCTGCCCCCTTACTCTATGTTACTGTGTATATGCTTTGTATTTTCTTACTTATACACATTTTATATACCCCCAGTAGAATTTAAGTTTCTTGAGGACAGGTATAGTTCATTTTTGTTTTCATATCTTCAGTTTCTAGTACTTAGAGCCTCCTACTAGCACCTAGTAACTTGTACTAAGTATGCTACTTTTGCACATAATGATACTTCACAATTGATTATTGACTTGATCTGAATAATAATTCCAACTCTACAGTCCTTTACAGTTTGCAAAGCACTTTCCTCACAAGTGGTGAATGAAGTAGGCAGTGCAAGTATTATAATGCCACTTTACAGATGAGAAAACTGAGGCTCAGCAGTCAAGTGATCTGCCTGGGGTCACCTGGTTAGTAATTATCAGAACTGGGATTGTAGCACAGCTCTGAGGTTAGCACTCCTTCTACTACATCTCCTTCTGCCTCTACTTACTTTAAGAGACTGCAAAGTCTTTGATGTGACCACTCCTTTTGCTGACACAGACTGCATCTCCTGCATGTCTGAGTAGATGCTTGCATGAGTTGCTGAGGCCAAAAATAATTCATCCCCTGTGGCTTCCCTCCTGGGGACAAGACTTCCCATGATTAGCTAAGATGGTCCTAATATGACCAACACAGAGCTACTCAGAAAAAAAAATTCCTGTAAATAAATATCCCCCCAAGACACACAAGGGCTCAGGAGGTCATATAAGTGTATGCATACAAGTGTGTATGTGCATGTGTATTCATGTATACATGTGTGCATGCATGGTGTGTAAGAGGGATAGACAGCTCCAGAAAGAGAGAGAAAGATAGACACCTCTTTCAGTGAATGGGTGGTGATCATTGCTAAATGATAAAGGTGGGAAACCTCTTAGGTATGAAAAATGGCTGGGCCCAGGAAATTAAATGAACATAGTCATGTAGAAATATGTATATGACCTAGCAGG